AACAAGGTAGATTGCTATGTTCTATGATTTTGACATGGAGGAGCTTCGGAAGTTCTGGACCGACATGTATAGATCACGTCACGATTAGAGTTATATTTTTCCGCTGAATGCCATTTGTGATGAAGATTTTCCCATTTATTACTATTATTCCTAATTCTAATATGGAAGAGCCGTAATTAATCAAGAACGACCTTTGCAGATCGTATCAGGATTAGAGTACCATTTATTCGTAATATTTTTTCATTGGGTGCCATTTATTCGCATTGTTATTAACAGTTTCGATGTGGGAAAGCCTCAAAGGTGCAGAAACCACTTATAAAAATCACGAGATGCTATTTATTTCTAATGTCTATTTAGTGTCATATATGTTTGCTGGGTGTCACTTATTCATACCATTATTTCGAGCATTAATGTCGAGTATTAATGTGGAAGAGCGTCGGAAGTTCAAGGGTGACGTTCACGGATTATGTTATGATCACACTTATATCTTTTGATTGGGTGCCATTTATTCCTAATATGTCGTAACAATTTTTACGTGGATAGCTTCTCTAACATCAGCAAGGAGTACTATGTAGTGTTCTTCTAATCGGGTATGGACGATTCTAGCAGTGCTTCTACAGAAAAGGTTAGCGTGCCATTTACTCGAATTTACTTTTTACTTTCTTTTCTTCTATTGTCGATGAAACATTTTACGTTTTACTTTTCGTAGTCAGTTTTTTTTGGTTAAAATTTGTCGTTATCCCTGTGGCTACAAACTTCCAAATGATCAACAAACTCCTCTAACGAGGCGCGATAGTTTTTTATGATATTTTAATTTTTTTAAAATCAGATTTAATTACGCGAATTCGCTCCGAATATCTGCACATCTTAGTATAGTGACCCCACATTTTGATGTTGGCGTCTAATTGTGATATAGAAACGTATGATTAGTCAGTGGTCCCTCCAAATCGCAACAAACTAGACTGCTGTGTTCGATAATTTTGATATGCCGTAGCTTCAGATGTTCTGGAATGACTTCTACGGATTACGTCAGGATTAGAGTGCCATTTATTCCTAATTTCCTAATTGCAGGGTCTTATTTTTTTGTCATTGTCACTTGGTTTGTATTTATTTATGGGTGCCACCGGTTCGTAATATTATACGCAGTTTTCATGAGGAAAATACTCAGGAGTTTAAGCTCCACATCGACAGATCAGCATTTCATTTCGTTAAGGATCATGTTAGGATCACACTTTTGAATGCGTGTCATTTATTCCTATTTTTCTTATTAACAGTTTTAATGTGGAAGAGCCTCGTAGCTTCAGGGGTGAAACATACAGATAATGTGATAATCTCTTTCATTGATACACAGCTTTTTTACATCAGAAAGAACCATCGATCGGATATGGACGAGCCTCAGAGCTCATGGCTTAATTGTCCTCGTTAACATTTGATGAAATTTACTCTAATTTACATTCTTTTTTTCTATTGTCGATGAAACATTAGGCTTTAATTTTCCTAATCAGCGAGTTGTTTTTGGTAAAATTGGTCGTTATAGCTGTGGCTACACTCTCTTAAATGATCAACAAACTTGCGATGGTTGTTTATGAATAACGCAGGGGATGATTCGAAAATTCGTAGCTTTTTGCAATTTTTTAAAATCAACCGTATCACCACCCTCGCGTACTGCTTCAATAAAACGCTCTTAATTACGACAATAATCCCATAAATTATAATGCGAGCGAAGAACGGGTCGAGATCAACCAGGCGCGTCAAACCTGATAATTAAGATGTTCCAATAAAGATACGCAAATTGTCCATTTCGATCGTTTAATGATGAGTTACAGTTCCCGGTTTTGAATTATTACGGCCATTAAGCCGTCGATTATGCCGGGAATTACAGAGTGGAAGTAATAAGCAATATGTAGTTCGTGATTGATTAGATGATTATGTATTAGAGCGCGGGACTAGTGCGCTCGTTCGGAACCTTTCGGTTCTCTGTTGCACCACGGACCACAGTCATAGACAGAGTGGGGGGAGTGGTGGCGCCGGGGTTTCCGTATTGATTGATTACGACCTAATATGTTATTATATACGTTATTATTACGTAGTTGACGTGATTGCCGTTGCCGTTATTTTGCTCGAAAATTGATAAATAGGAAAGCGCGCTATGAAGGGGCGGATTCTACACGCCTCGGATAAATACGGTCGATATCGCGGCTATGATAATGTCGGTCCTATCGGATAATCGTTCCCATTTTTATTTGTAGCTTACGCAATACTTTTTGATTGCCAGTTACAATTACATATTAGTATATTAGGCAACAAGTCTGATAGACGCTACTTTAGTCACTGCAGAAGTTTATCGACGTAGCATACTATTTATACTAAGTGACATTTTGCGCACGCCTGATTGGTATATAATTGAGTATTTTAGAGTAGGAAGTAGAAATGTTGAATGGTAAAAGGAAACAATTTTATATTATATTTATTATCTTATATCCAGAGACACCTGGTCTCTATTAACCAGCGAAAACCCGATACTGGGAATGTCACCAATTTCCTCCACTTATGAGAAAATGCCACTGTTTTGATAACGAAGCAACTATTACACGTAGCAAAAATTTACATAAACATCGGTGTGGGTATTGGGCATGATACTCTGTCTATTAATGCCAATCTTGTTAGGGTTTTCTATATTCTGTCGTGTCATATCTTTATTCCTAATATTGTCTCTCCTCGTACATTCATTGATTCTTCTCAGATAATTTATTTCTTGTGCCCGAATACGACTTCCTTATTGTTTCTCTGTATCTACTGCATACATGTTATATCGCATATTTTCCTATGAAGACCATTGTCTTTGTTTTCTAGTGGATATATTCATTCATACCATATTCTGCGCAAATATTTTGAAGCAGGTGTACGCGCCTAGTTATTTTTTTAAATTGCAAATGGATATTATGGCACGAGCGGATCGAGTTTTTAGTAAGCGGGAAACTTAAGAAGTTTACCAAACGTGTTACATACTATATTTTTTCGACGATCGTTAGTTTTTGGGTACATTTTCGCAAAACAACAATAATTAGGTACTGTACAGAAGGGAGTAGTTTTTAACACGCTTCTTATTAAGGTAAGAAAATTTTCGTTTGAACATAACCTAACCGATAGTTTCAACTGCAACCAAAATTACAGTTTGACATTGAATTCAACTTTTTTTTGTGCCCACTAAATTGGCATTCTTTTTTTTTACATAACAAACTCTGTCTCTGTCGTGTTAAAATTTAAAATTAACCAAAAATTTATTGCAGATGATAATAAAGTTAGGATATCATTTAAGTAATAAACCTGAAAGTAAATAAACTAAAAATAGAAGTTAATGTATATTATACAAAGAAGTGCTTCTTAACAAATTTTAGACTGGTAAACAGGCAATACAAGTCCGAGTCTGATAAGTCTAGTTCTATTTTATTAAAATCGATAATATTTTCATCACTATTTTATCGTCTTGTGTTGTCGTAATTTGTCGATCCGTATCCGGCTTTTGGTTCATCGTCTGTCAGTCCCAACGGTTTTATTTTCGAAAATTTTCTTCTTTCAGACATTAATCAAAGGTGTTGTTTAACAAATTTTGGAAGCTTATTTCCGCCATGTACTCTGAGGACATAATTTCAGCTTTTGTTTCCCATGTTTGGTATAAAGATGGAAAACAATTTTCATGTAACAATAAAGATGTAGACAAATATAAATATAACGCCAATGCCTTCTCTGGAGTAATTGTATGATTTTCCTCTCGCTTTCTACTTGCACCGGCAATTGTAGCAGATTCCTCGGCTGCTATTTTTCATAACTGTGGTTAGTTATTCATTCTCAGTCCTTTTTTTACCAAACTCCTCAAATGATATTGACGGACAACATTGACTAGATTTAGTAACTTGTGTGAAATTTATTATTACATCACACAAATAAATATTGCTTTCGAGAAAGTGTCGGCTTTTTTTCTTTGTAATTTTTGCCAAAATTTAGATAAATACACTTAGGAATTCTACAAAAAAGGTCTACAATTGTTCGAAAAATGCACCTTTTAATATTGTCGATATAGTTTTTATTTATTATCCATATATCGAAGAGATGGGCGTTTTTTAATGTAAGGTCTCCGAAGATAGAGACCTATATAGCGTTACAGAGTATTAACCAGACAAGCGAATGAGTAAAAATTTGGAAGTAAATTTTTTGATACATTTGAGAAAACCCTTTTTTTTAAAAAAAACTTAAATAAAAAGAAGAGAAAAAAAGAAGCCTTCGCTTTAGATTTGTTTTAATAACTGACGCCTACCGCAAAATTTAAATTGTTATTTTCGATACCATTAATGAATATCTTTCAAAAAAATAGTTGTAACATTTGGAAATAAGTATAGTCAAATCAAGTGGAAAAACATAATGTAACTGTGCCGCATTCAACTCCATCCATTGCGAACTGAATCCTGAAACTACTGTTTTATCAAGCCATTGAGGCAGTAATACCAGAGAACTGGCGAACAGCAGCCAAGCAGTAATTAATGAAGATGAGAAAAATTTGGGATCTTGAATACTTGAATACCGAACCGCTGACCTGTCAATTATAACGTCAACAGTAGATGACAGTTCCGCAAATGATTTTTTGTAATTTAATTTTTGAATAATACAATGTATATAATGCTTAATTCTTATGTTAAAAGTCTTTCCTTTTTTCCCACCCTCGGTAGAATTTTGCAATAAAACCAATGCCAAACAATGAAAGTTGTTTAAGTCTTCGTTCGGTAACTCTGTAGTTACTTTGCAAACGTAATGAGGATTTATTGCTGCTTTGTGAAATAGACTATAATATAAATTCCGTATAAATCATCATTATCCCAAATTCCTGACCTGAAGGCGCATTCAATTAAAGAAAATTTAATTGTGATATTTTACATAGGTTAACTAAAAAAAAAGAATGAATCAATTATGTAATTTATTTCATTTGGGGTTCTGTTTGGTTACAGGAAGTGAACGACGTCTGCGTAGGAACGAGCGTCGGTACCATCACCGAACCGGATTGTTTGGGTCCCTGCGAACCGGGTACCAGTGTGACCCTCGAGGGCATCGTGTGGCACGAGACCGAAGGAGGTAAGCAGGCGTCCACTTTTTTTTGGAAACCCGATTAGTCAAAAAGTTTTTCCCTTTAAGCATAAACTATAACATCGGGAGTTAATTTTATGGTATAAATTTATTGCTGCGATTCCTTGGACGATTTTAAAAAATTGAGTTTATATCAATAGAGGGACGTAGTCGCTTTATTCTTGATATACTGGGTGTTGAAATTATATTAAAAAAAAGAACGTATTTTCCTATTTTCCTCATTTTTATTGAAATTGCTTATGATATGCCAAACGAATCCGCAATGACGCAATGTAAACCATAATAACAGAACAAAGTATGGAGTCATAACTAATTACTAAATGATAATTTAGTCTGGATAGGTAGTGAAGGAACAGAATTATGGCCTCCTAGATCCGTCCATATACATTCTGGATTTTTTCGTGTGAGGACATCTGAAGACGCTGGTTTACAGCACCTCAATACATCCTGGGGGAAGCATAATAATTAATTGTCGAAATATCAGAAATACTTCAGCAAATTTTCAAAGCGTAGAGTCGATGAACCGCAAAGTTAAATGTTAAGTTATGATTATTTAACTTTTAATTTAATGATTGATTTTTAATCTTTTCGCTAAAAAACTCTTCATCGCACGACTCAGTCAAGTGATCATTTTTAATAAGAAGTAAATAGCGTTTTTAAAATTGTAATTTGCTTGAAAAAAGCAGTGGCGTACCCCGATGCCTCTGGCGAAAGTAGAAAAGTAATTGCCCCCCCGAAAAAAGTGTTTCTATACATTGTTGGACCTTACCATATTTCAACAAAATATCTGAAGCAATTTCAATGAAAACGAGGAAAACCGTTTTGTTTTTAAATACCCTGTATATATAAAAAATGATTGCGGACTTTTTCTTAGTCGTGCAGGGAATCACACCATTTAACGAGCAGTATCTTATCACGAAACACCCTGTATAGGTTCAGTGTACTACGAAAATAATGTATGTCCTCCACCGGCGGAATAAAACTGAAAGGTTGAATTGTGTTTTTTTTTTTTTTGCTTGGAAAAGGTCAGGTTCCCATATAGGTAGAACATAGAAAGAACACAGTCGGCTTTGCAGCTGGTTTTTTTCTTTTAATTGTTTTAATCGAATGGAAAGAAAAACGTATTTGTTAACGCATTAACATCGAGCGATGACGACCAAAACGTGATAAAAAAGCGAATTCGTTATTAAGGACACTAGTGCAAAGAGTATTTATGGATTCAGAACAAATTACGAAACTACATTTTCTATCGACATTTTTCTGTTGCTTAATTTACAGTAGGACTTAACGACATTTGTTTTGGAAATTGTGTTTTTCTGCAAACGATGAGCGAATCAAATGTAAACGTTGTTTCAGGTGTGTTGGTGGTGAATGTTACTTGGAGGGGGAAAACGTACGTTGGCACCCTATTGGATTGTACCAGGCACGATTGGGCGCCTCCAAGGTATGTTGGGATATGTTAAATTGGAACGCGACTTTTTATAAAATACATACCATAAATATAGTAGATATAGTGGTCCCAAAAGTATTAAGGGAAATAAATATTCAAACGTTAAATATTGAATGAATAAACACGCCTAGAACAGAGCTGAACTCGTCTTTATATTGTAGTTTAGGGACTTGTGAACATAAATATGCATAAAAAGGCTTCTTAATCCGTTTTTATCATTCCCTTATAATTGTGGGGCTAGTATATATTTTTTATATTTGATAATGCATTTATTCGATAATTTAATCATAAACACGGGAATAAAATCATTTTTAAGTCTGGTAAAAACGAAGCAATGGCATTATTTTGCTTCGAACGTTTTAGAAATAAACTGACCATACAGCACAAACACGTAATGTAAACTGCGGATACGCTCATTTGTACATGCAGATGTCCATAGGACGTCCAGGAATAGGTGCCGGATATTCCATGGCCGTCCTATGGATATTAGGGTACATACAATGGACCTACTACGGACATTTTTAAAATGTTCATTTTATTACCCCGACCTCCGTATTATGTTTAATTTACTTTTAATTTATTGTTAAACGAAACAAAACTTTGGTTTGTGTAAGAATATAAGATATATTAACATTGTATCTAAAATGACTATTCTTGGGCTTCATTTCTTTGCTTATTTCGTTTATTTATTTCAGAATTAAAAAAAAAAAAAATACGACCTCATTTATCAATCATAGCAATTTTTTGAAAATCTTTTTTGCGTATTTGCTAATTATGAGGAGTAGTTAGGAATATATATTTTTACTGCATCATAACAACAAATAATCAATTAATTAATAGAATAACAAAAAAAACTTATTATTAATCTTGATTTTTTTTTAAGTGTGGACACATTTCATGATGTGAACTACAGGACCATATTTGGCTCGAATATATACCTACCTGTTTTAGCAATGCACAGTAATTTCAATTGACCAATCACAATATACGATAACAGGGCGCGTGAGATGTATGTTTTTTTCATTAAATTAATTAATTAGATATTGTATTTAGGAATTGCTAACCCTCTAAACGAAAAAAAGTCGAAATCAAAAAACGAAGCAAACTGAATCACAGCTTCAACTTTGATTTAACTTTGAGTTTTAATGAGGTTAGCCAGGCTGATAAAAAATGTTTAACTAGAACTAATGCTATTGCGTCTCATAATCTATCGTTAAAAAATGATTATAATTGCATCAAATCTTATAATTAATTATCTGAGACACATCATAAGTATGTGCATTATTTATTCAATATTTGCTGTTTTAGAAAAAAATATACATAATGAGTGACTTCTTATTCAAGATCAACATTATCCCGGATACACTGTCCGGTTTTCGTAAATCTGTTCAGTCACAGAAATAAAATTCTTGTCTTTTTCCGCTGGATTACACCAGAGTTTTTAATACTGTTGATACTGAAATCCTCTGACAAAAGTATTGGTTAATTGACTCTTGATTTGACAGAATATCGCAACAAATTGTCTACAACAATAGTAAAACCCTTTTTGTAACATACGGAGTACCCCAAAGCTCCATATATTATCAGCTCATAATCTTAAATTTAATACTAATGAGTCAGTGACCATATTATTTGGACCACAAAAATATGTAGACTGTGTCAGAAATCATCTAAAGTTAACAATGAATGAGTTGATAAAGAATTTAAAACTGAAGCAAAAAATCTGTAGCTACGGAAACTAACCAAAATTTGTCCATTGGCTCTGCATGTGTCAATAGATAGCTTCAGAAACTCAAAACAAGTTGTGGAATAATGGTTTCCAACCTTAAATGATATTTCCTCTATTTATTATCATATATTTTTTATTAATTTGTTATGATTAAATTGTTAAACTTGTTTTTCTTTTCGTAATAAAGACGTAATAATTATAACACAAAAAATGTTCCAAGTACGAACAGTGAACGTTTCTTTTTGTCCATTGGACTGTCAACATATTACATTCCATGAATATCAATGAAACAGCTGTCCATGAAACAACGGACGTCCATTGGACGTTTTGTGCTCTATGGGTGCGTTATGCGTGACATATTTGGCCGGTCAATAGACCCATAAATTATATACAATCGCCTTGTGCCGAATTTCATTTTTACGTAGTTAAATGGTACGAGAATGCAAACGGCAAAATGAACCAAAATCACGTATGCAGTAGGATAATAAATTCGCATTAACGGCATGTAAAACTGACGTGACGTGAAACATACACAAGGATTCGCTTTGAGTTCTATTTATACGAGTTGATGTGGCGCGTATCTCGTGTGCAACACCCATCTGCCGGGCGTTGTCAGTTCAATTTTCGCTTCTCCAGTAAATACGAGTCAAAAATTCAATTGACTTATTTTACGCCATATGAATTCGGAAAAGGATACTGAAAATTGCAACGTTGCAAGAATATTTCTTTTTTGTTGTAGAAATAAATATAGGTTATATAGGATAAAACAACATAGGACCGAATATAATTCAAAGACCTTTTCATTAAAAAAAGAAATAAAAATTAACTTGTTAGTTTAATAGGATTTACCTCGGCGAAAACTTCCTCAACATTAATAATAATAAAGGTAATTTGTAAAACCGACAACGCAGCATTGGCCAGAGGCGCTCGCATTTAAAATGCGGTCTGACTGAAATAAATCAATCGTCTTAATGGTTTTTATTCGCTCGTTAAAATATGGCGAACGCGGCCGCGAATCGCCTTGTACCACATCGAAGTGTGTAATTGAGATTGATGGACGTCACAGATAACATTAGAGGCATCTAACGCGTTTAATGATGTAAATATCATTTTAAGAACGAGAATTAAGTTCGGCCAATTTGTTGAATGGTTATTAATGTTTATGGGAGAGGTTGACGCGTGTTGAGTGAGACGACTTCGGAAAGCTTTTAAAAGGTTTTGTTTTGAGTTTTTTTGATCCTCCACATCGACGATGGTGTAGGGCTATAAAATGACGAAAGGACATCCCGAAAAGTCGTCCATAAAATGCGTAGAAACTGCTGAAAGTACTTAATACTTAATAATTTGAAAAATAAATCGCCGAAATGCTAAAGTCAAATGCGACTTGGAAATGTAAAAAATTCAAAAGGTTTGCGATTCAAATGGACAATGTAATTTTGGAAACTGCTGATCTAAAGATATCAATTGATAAGCAACCATACCTGCGCCTTAAGTTTTTGAGCCACGAATTTTGTTTTCTACCCGCAGACTTTTGCTTCTATGATGAGTCTTTGATGTCCTATATGACCTTTATATGCGGTATTTTGTTCTTTAATGCAGCACATCAATTCTTTTATTTTGTGAATGAGTCTAATTACTTCGGTATTAGTTATACTTGCTACGTAAAACTAAGACTAGGTTAAAATTTTTGCCAATTGTGACGAAATGCTTTACATTAATTACCTTGTTCTATATTATTTTCACCCCAAGATATTGTTTCTAAAATAAACACTTCGTTTGGGTTCGTCAAAGAGAGAAATTCAGAGAAAAACTTAAACTGAACATGACAAATTATCCTTTGCAAAGTGAAAACTAGAAACCAAAACTTAACATAAACTAATAATGATTTATGTAGCTTCTGTTATTAATATGTTGTTCCGGTTATATTTCAAAATTAGTTCATGGTTAAAAGTTTTCTATTCGTTTATTTTTCATTCCTACAAAATAAATAATAAAAGCTTTTTTCTTTTAAAAAAATGGAACAATACTACTTGGTTATCCATGGAAATGTTAATCAGTCAACTGTATTCGTAATTTCTTCTCAGTTCTAAATCTAATATCAGACGTAAACAAAATAGAAATGTAATCATGTCTTGTGTGGAATTGAGTTTTCAACTCGCCTAATATCTTTTGGGCTGAGGGTATTTTTGTAAGACGATTTAATCATCAATTTTTATTCTATAATTTAATTCATCTTCCGATAACATCTTTGGTTATGTTGTTTGGCATCTGACTAGATTTGCATAATTCGTATTTGTAATGGTTAGTTATCAGCAGGCAAAGTAAAACAAAGGGTTGGTCATTGGTGTAACCACGGTTTAACTAGTGGTTAACTAAGAGTTGGTGTTTTATCAAATTTCTCATATTCCATGGTCTGATACGGCCCTATATTGCATCTACCCTATCGTTTGACTTTGATTTTATCTTTGACCTGACGCTAACAGAATTTCTGTCAAGAAGTCTTACATATTCGTAAGTGGAATTTGTCGATTCACAGCGACCTGTTGACCTGATTATTTTTAGCAATAGACGTTTCAGTTGGATTTCACTTGACTGAACCTCGGAAACCCCAAACGACATCGCGTTTTTTTTTCCGTTCGTCCTGTTCGACTGTAAGAGCATTTCAATGAGTTTCAGTACCTCGGAGTTTGAACCAAAGAGTGAGACAGTGAAATTTTCTTTTGTGATCTCCCGATTTGACTACAGTAATGAATTGATTAATCTGTTGATTAAATCTTAAGACAACTTGCAAGTTGGAGTCGATATATGTCGATCTAGTTTACTCGTCTGTGATTACTACAAGAATAAAAATACCATCTAGTCAAGACTGACTTTTGACAATTTTTTCGCGTCCAGATCGTCGGATTAATACCGGGCAACCATCTACAGCACTCTGCTCTCCTGTCGAACCTTGTTTTGCTTTTAGAGGTCGACAGTGCCTTCTCGCGAATAGAAGCGAATGTTTGAGTTCTTTGTCGACATACAGGCGCAGTAGTCAGTAGTCACGTTTGCGTTTGCTTATATTTGTTATCCCAGTTTTCACAAATGGTAGATGGTAGATACAGCGCGTTTGGTAGATACAATGTTTTGTGCAAATTTTGATTTGTTTTCAGCGGATTTAAGCTCCTGGGCGGATTTTATTTAGTATTTTGTTGTTGTGTTTGCAGATTTTGTGATTCACCGACCAGCGATCTAGATAATCGGACCCCCAAGGGTAGAGGTAAGTCACAAAAATCCTATGCAGTATGTATAAAGTAGCTTTAGGTATCTGACGAGAGAAAATATAATTTGCTTTTTATAAAAATTATTTCAATTTAATGTTATTTCTTACATTTTTTATGTTCTTTTCTTATTTTAAACAACAAAGGATGTTCTCAAATAAAGAGGAAATAAAAATATTTTCCAAAATTTGACTCAAATATCTGGAACGTAAAAAATATTTGTCAAATAATTATTGTTTTTTTTTTGTCAAGAAACTAGATCGTCGGTGCACAGCAAACTTCGCAACGGCGTCGGCGTCGGCGCAAAGGGCGGAAGGCGGGGCGTGGCGAACGGCGCCGGTCCGTCGACCGGTCCTTCATCGCCCACCCCCTTCATACCGCCTCGGACCGATAACAAACGGAAGGGCAGGGTAAGCGAGGACGAGACGCCCCCTAGCGGTAAGAAGGCGAAGGTGGTCGTGCCGCCGACCGTCGTGACCGCGGCGCCGCCCCCGTCAGGCAGCCCGCCACCATCGCCCGTGTTACTCGAATGCCCCGAGCCCAACTGCTCGAAAAAGTACAAACATATCAACGGGCTCAAGTATCACCAGTCCCACGCCCATGGATCGGTAGCGGACGACGACGAAACTAAAGGTGATTTTTTTTTAGTGTGAAAATGTGTTTAGCGAAACAAAATCTATTACTCTCATATCACTCCCCATAAAAGTGGTTTTCTACCAATTTTCATTTAAAATCTGGTCCATGAAAAACATTTTCGACAAAGTTAAGAGCTGGGCATCTTCTCTTACGACTTACGGCTACTAATACACATTTCGCACCTGTAGTTAATTATTTATTTGATATTCTGCTAATCACTATTGGGACCCTTCTAATTAAAATCTCTTGTCCAGGCGTTTTGTGAAATCCGTTTCAGGCGCATTAGGACAATGTTACGATCCGATTCCTATATTTAGAAGTCAATATTGTTTTCTTTTTTGGTAATTCAGTGCTTATTCCACTCCAGATTAGGAAATACATCGTAGGTAATGTTTCCTAAGATGTACTTATATCGAAATGGAGTAATCCATCATCGTATCATCAATCGGAAAAGTCATTTTTAAAACCATCTGATGTATAGGGGTACAAGATAAAAATATGTGAATTAAGGATGATTTGTTTAACTCCACGTCACTACCAGAGATTACACCTTTTATCATCAAGTATTTTTTAAACGAATTTTTTTTCCACCACTCCAGTAATTCCTAGAAGTTCCTCGCGAACTCCGCCAACTACATTATCTCAAGTAAAAAACCACCCGAACCGTTATTGTCTCTTTTTGCAGATGTCACTTCCATGTCAGAGAATGACGAGTCGAACATCGAGGCGCCGAGCCCGGTCACTCCAGTGAAATCGCCGGAGAAGAGCCAGGATAGTCCCCTCACTCCTGTCAAAAAGGAAACTACCGCTCCCTCGGAACTGCCGCTGCTGTTACGCGGAACCACCGCCTCATCGGGGGCAGGTCTTCTTGAAACGGGCGCCGCTTCGTCGGCAGCCGCCGGGAGCGCTCCCGGCACGCCGCGTAGCACACCGCCCTCACCTGCCACGCCGCAGAGCGTCCAAGACTTGTCGTCAGTAGCTCTGGGGTCACCGAACGTGCCGCCCGTCGAACCGGTCGTATCGAAACCCCAAGGACTCGTCAAGCCCGGCATTTTGCGGTACGGCGCACCCGAAGAGTACCCGACTTCAGCGGGTTCCATGGTGGCGGTATTCGGTGGGGCGGGAGGCAAAGCGCCTGTCAACACGCCGCAGCAACTGATGCAAGGGCGAAGCGCCGCTTCGTCGATCCCTGTGCCGCCACAGGATCAAATGGCCGCCCAAGCGGAACCCAACCAAGCCCCTTTATTCGCCAGCCAGTTACAATCCCACGTCGGCAACATGTCTGCGCAGCAACAGTTCGGCCAGCCGCCCAGCCTTATCATCCCCACTAATCAGAGCCCCGCGCAGATTCAGTCGCAACTGTCGCCCCACGCCCATCCGCCTCAATCGCCTAGTCAGACTGCGAAACTGACCCAGTTCAAGGTGAAACCAGCCTCCGCTCTGATGCCCGACGACAAGAAGACTCAGAACGGCGGTGCCAGTCTGGGTAAGGCGCAGAGTTTCAAAAAGAAGAATAGAAAATCGCCAGCGGGTAGTCCGCATCCGCCCCAATCAGATCAATCGATATATGGAATGGAACACGGTGGAAGGGACGAGGTTCAAAGTCCGGCGTATTCGGACATTTCTGACGACGGCGCTCCTCCCGTCATGGACGGAGAAGTCGACAAGGTTAAGGGCCAACCGGACAAGAAAGCGGAACAGGGACAGGCGTTGCCGCACATGTCGCAGTACGGCATGTATCCGTTCTACTCGCAGACGCATCAATACTTGGTGCCGTCGCAGCAACAACAGCAGCAGCAGCAACAATCCGAGCCGCCCAGCAAAGCCAAGGAGGCGGAGAAACAGAGCGAGAAACTGTCGCAGGAGAAGGACGGAAAAAAAGACGCATCCGATTATCAACAGAAAATTCTGCAGCAGCATTACTACCCGTACGGCTACATGCCAGGCTACCCTTATAACATGGAACCGAATTACGGCGGAATGTCGATGATGCAAGACGACAAACACAAAGAAGACCGGTCGAAGGAGAGTCCGAGCCCGCTGGATCAGCAACAGCAGCCGCAGGTCAAGCAACCGACACCGATACCGAACCCGATCCAAGTGCCGATGCCGGGCAAGGTCAAGTCTCAGGAAGCCAACATAAAAGACAAACATCAAAACGAGAACCATCAAATTATCAAGGAAAGCATCGAGATCAAAAACCAGATGAGCCCGTACATGTACTCGCGCCAGGCTCAGGCACAGCAGCAGCAACAGCAGCAGGTGGCTGCTCAACATCACGGCGGTCAGCGCGACGATGACCCGAGACGGTTTTATTTGTATTCTGAGCAAAGGCGTAAAGAACAGCAGCAGCAGCAGCATCAACAACACCAGCATCAACAGCAGCAAAACGCATCCGACCACGTTAAACCGAGCTCGAATCTAAACAAAATGTCAGTGACGTCCGGAGGCATGAAATCCAAAGAAATCAAAATGGAGGAAAAGAAAGAGAAGGAGGTAAAGCAGGAGGGCGTGAAGCCGACGATGGAAACGCAGGGTCCCCCACCTCCGCCTACATCTCAGTACGCGTACATCCACCCGAGTTACATGCAGTCGACGCCGTACGGGGCTTTACCGTTCGACCCCAGTCACCCGATGTACCGGGTGATGGTGCCCGGTCCGTACACCAGCAACCCGTACCTACACCACCAGATGCCGCGATACCACGCGCCCGAAGACTTGTCGCGCGCTCAACCGCCGACCAAGGCGCTCGACATGTTGCAGCACCACGCGCAGTACTATTCGTCGCACAAGATACACGAGTTGCAGGAGAGAGCAATCAAATCGCCCACACCAAAGACTTCGGCGGCCAGTTCAAGTCCCTCTACTAATAGCGCGCCCCCTTCCGGACAGTCGCCCGCTCAAATGAGCGCCCCGCCCACCTCCCAGGCGCCGAACGCGACGCCGTCGAACGGAAAACAGACGCCGGGCGACAATAAGGACTCTCGTTCGCCCCCGCCCCAGAGACATGTACATACCCATCACCATACCCACGTCGGACTCGGTTATCCCATGTATCCTGCCCCTTATGGAGGTGAGTCTAAGTTTCAAAATAAAGTTCAGCCATTTATTTCCGAGGGTTAAATATAAGTAGAATGTTATTTAATCCAATTAGTGAGTCCGGACCGGACCCTGATGCCAAATCGATATTTTCTTCTGTCCGAATCCCATAAAAGAGCAATTTTTTTGTAGCCCTACAACTGTCCGATTTATATTTCAAATATTTTATGACAATTTCTATAAATGGGTTATGATAGGTTATGTATGTTGTTATGATTAGGGTTACATTTTATTTATAAACTATAAGGATATAAATGAACTAGTAACAAGGAGCAATAATTTTGGATGCACGATAAATAAGATATGTATTATTTTCTCTCTCTACATTTATAACATATTGTACCATGAACGCTCCAAATAAACCGGGATGATTTTAGTTAATTTAAATCTGTTTTATGAATAAAATTAAACGATCTTTGATTTAATAAAAACTTAATTAATAACTCTCTTCTTCTCTCAATATGCCATATCCGATTTTTACCGAATGTTGGCAATCATGTTGGCTATCAATACTTTATTTACATCTATATACATTTATATATATCGCAGTTCATATATCGATATGTTTGAATTAGAACTTGAATGCTGAACGCAGCCTCCCTTGTACGTAGGCTCTTACAGAATCTGTATTACTATTTATAAAATTTCTGGATTGCTGCTGCGTCGATTTTTGTTGAGTCGAACTAGATAACGTTTCGCCAATCATCCTGTTGGCTTCTTCAGCTTAAGCTCAACAAAAACCGACGCAGTAGTAATCCAGAAGTTTTATAAAAAGGATTAAGTAGCCTGTGGAAGTTTCTTTGAAAAATTCTTTGATGTTTTATTCATTGCAATTTCTAGCCTTTGATGATTTAGGGATCGGGATAAACGTTGACTTCAACTTAACTAATAATGCAATTGTTTTCTCTCCTAATATTTTTAATACCTCAGTTAGGATTTCATATGGTCCTGTTGCTCTCTGCTTTTTTTTGCTAATTTAATGGCTCCCTCTATTCCATCTTTGGTAATTGGTGGTCCAGTTATGTTTTGTTGTACGCCATGATCCGCGTTTCGCTCCTCTTCAAATCGCTCTTCAATATACTCTACCCATCTTTTTAGTTTTTCCTCTGTTTCTACGATTAAGCTTCCATTTTTGTTCATTATTGTATTCACACTGTTATGCTTATTACCTGTAATTGCTTTAACTTTCTTATGTAGGCTAAAGTCATCATGTCACATTCGTTGAGAAGTACACCATTTTCGCAAGTCTAATTTTCTTTCTTATTTCTTAATTAAGTTTTTTGTAGCCATCTCCATTTCCTCAGACTTTCTGTCGTCTTGTGTCTTTAATTAGATTCAGAATTTCTTCAGTCATCCATAGTTTTTTCTTGGGTTTCTTATCTGATATCAATTTACAGTCCATTGTATCTTTTATAGTTTTGGCAAACAATTTCCATTGTTGATCTATTGAGGTTAGAGATTATTGTGGTACAATTTCCATGGCCGTCTGATTTTTTAAATTGTTCAGATCTGGTCTTTTCGTGATATCAAATTGGCGTTATCTTCTTAAGCCGGCATGAAATCTTAGCGATATGGTAAGAGGGATACGTTTTTACTGATGTGACTGAATTTCTGTACCATTTTTTAATAGTAATGAAAATTAATACGCCTAAATATTTTTAAAATTACAGTCAAGGTGTCAGTGAAGAAGACAGCGGTGCCATCTATGTTCTAAAATGCGAATCAACATCTAATAAAGTTAAAACGGACACCAATCGAGCAATATTTGTTTAGCTAACTATCGTAATAAACGTTCAAGAGATAATTTGTTTCATTATTTTGATTACAATGTAAAGTAAAGGATGCAATTCATTCTAAAATGAATTAGATGTTTTTATAGCCGGTGTACTAAAGAAAATAACTACCAAACATGAAACTGGCGATGTTGTTCGACACGATTGCGGAATGACTAAATAATGTTACGGTAAATTATTTCTGAAGAATTTGTGATTGTTAGCGATTTTGTTGAAAACAAGAATCCTTTGCTATGCTTAAACAAGTGAGTCCCTTATTAATGCCGAGCTAATAATATTTAAATTTGTTGATTGGTAATGCATTAGACCATTTTCTGTTAATCGGGAATCTTTGTGTGAGCAGAAAATGTAAAAATACCTCCTAACATAACTAATGGTGTTCAAATTTTGTTAACATCAATAATGGAACAAATGATTTTTTGAGGTATGAATTTATGTGATTAGCGATATCCGGAATCCTTTCGATGTATTAAATCTTGTTAACAGAAACTTTAGTCAACAAAACAGTCCGCTGAAACAGTTTTTGTCTGGCCTGGCTTATGCTAGCGGAAGATCCAGTGGCGTGACAAAATTTATACTAAATGTTTGGAACAATTTTTTCAGAATGCCAGCCTGCAAGCGTTATAACGAATATAGTTGCCATTTGTATTTTGGAGATAAGATTCATTCTTCAAATTATGTGATGTCCTTTCAATTACACCCTCTATTTATAAAGATTGCAGCCCAGTAGTCGAGAAAAGCACTCGTAAACATTTTTTTAGTGGTTCTTTTGGTGCAAAACAGTAACGACAGCGATAAGGGTGTGCCAGCGTTCGTTTAGTAGGTCCAGCGATCTTAATAGTTTCTCTTGTTCTTCTCAGAGTTCCATCTTCCATCGAATGCTGGAAATCATCATGGCAATGCGGATCTTGTTGACAGCCGCTCTAATTTCAGAGCCAAGATATATTCGCCTTTCGACACCGCCTAAATCGGATCTTCGCCGGTACTGCCCGTTGCAACGTTGATCCCCTCATTAGATGTCCTAGGTATTCAAGTTTCCTCTGTTTGATTGTCACAAGAATTTCCGACTCCCATCCCATCCTTTTTTAAACCTCAACGTTAGAGATCCTTTCTGCCCACGATATATTCAAAAACCTTAGGTAACATCAGAGCTCAAACGCTACTTGCATCTGCATTAGTGTTCATGCCTCCATACTATATGAAAGGGCGGAGAATACTTAGCACCGAAAAATTCTCACACGCAGTTTCAAACCAAAGTCTCCACTCGTTCCATGTTCATGTTGTTTACTACTAAATGGATATCTATGCGTGGTGATTTAGTAACGACCATATATTTAGTTTTGTTAAGGTTGATCTTTAGACTGTATTCATTACAGCATTCGATTCATTAGGTTGTGCAAATCGACGATGCTATCTGTCATAATAACTGTATCGTTAGAAAATCTAATATTGTTAAGAGTTTCGCTATTTATCTTTATCCCTTCGGAGCAATCGGTCAGTGCTTTTTGGAATATGGCCTCACTGAATACATTGAAGAGCAGTAGTTACAGGAGAGAGCTCTTACTCGTACTTTCTCTAGTAACATTATTTTAGAATTAAAAAAAAGTAAAGAAAAGAATTTCACTTTTTAAAATTCTCATTCGGCATCAGGGGTCTAACTTCAATCTTTAAGTCATGTCAATTATTGAACACACTGTGAAATGAATTATAAGGATTTATGATGTTTTACCCAGAAATGATAAGGGTTTGCGCGTAGCTCCCTTTAATTTAATTTTGGATCAAAACTAACCAAAAGTCTTCATCATCAATCTTCAATCATCACAAATTTCATCATATTATTGTATATATTAACTCCCAGTCAATTTTTATTACAGCGGCCGTATTGGCCAGCCAGCAGGCGGCAGCGGTGACGGTCATCAACCCTTATCCGACCAAGTGAAGGAAGAACCCGGACCGAAGGGAGGCAAGCAGTGTCGTAGAGAGACTTATTAAGCATTCCATATAGATGTGTCTTGTTATATAGTGTGCACTCGCTCATTTTGTAATAATTGTAACGAATTAATTTTTCTATAGGTACACCACAAGCTGTTTTGCAATGCGGTCGTGTATTGTAAACGATTTATTTTTAACACCGCGGCGGTTCAACTCGAGAGGGCGTGGCCGTCTGGACGCGGCGAGCGTGGGAAAGAAAAGGCGCGCCCTCTCGCGACGACGGCCCGAAGTTCAGTGTATATAGTACGAAGGCGTAATGTCTTTATCAAAAAGTCATATATATTATAGTAAAAAAAGGTAGTAGACTGATAATTTACCTGCTCGGGGTATTCTGTATTTTTTATGTCCGATTCGTCGTTATCATTCGCGTTTTCGTCATCAATATGTGGGCACATGCGTCCATAAAAATGCGGTGTATATTTATCAGACGCGTGTCCGTTAGGTATTACCAAACTAGGTGTTCCGCAAAATGGAGGAATATTCGAAATTTGTGGCCTTACACCATGCTTGTATTTTGTCACTATCCTGGAAATAAAGTATATCATAATATACATGATACTTCGTAAATCATGGTTCTCAAATTCAAAGAGGCGATTTCTGATAAAGAACTAATGAATTCTAATGAACAACCAAAAGGAAAGTCTTCCTTTCTTGTCAAGTTTGTAGTTGGTTAAATAAACAAAATGTTTATAATAATAATAAACAATAAATAATTTATAATCAATTTTGAATTTGAGTTTGTCAAAAATATTGGTTGAGCGTCTTGCGGGATGACGCACATTAATATTGCTTACCCGTTTGGAGCTCAATTAAGCGCACAAATATATATATATTTTTTGCTTAAAAATAAAATAATCGAAATAAACTCTGAATGCGTGTCTATAAAAGACCTCTTATAAAGTTATTGCGAAATATCCTCCTGTGAACGACCTGGGCTTGGCGCTTTTAATATTCCATCAAGCTCTTGGATTTTATAATCGATATTTTTTGTTTCGACAAACAGGGGCTTAATTTTTTTGCGAATCAAAATTTTTTAAAACTAATTTACTCACGACGCATGTGCTTTCTCGTTTAACGCGTTTCAGTTTTATTGAAACGACATTAATTTTATTATTATCTCGGTAATGTTCCCTTTTTCTTTCTCCTTGTCCTCATCCTCCCCTCCTTACTTTACGAATTGCAGTCTGTACAACCTGTAATATTCTGTAAATAATCCCCACCCACCCTTATCATGACAAAAATAAAGAGAGAAAACAAAAGATATTTATATGTACGATTTTTCTTTGCATGTCCGACAAGATTCTAATTTGTTCGTATGTTGATTGTTACACATGCAGGTCCCTTGTGTATATTATTAATATTATTAGGCTAGCGTTTTGTTATAATTATTTTTTAAATAAATGTTTATTTATATTGTAAGGCTATTTTCAATTTTAGTGTACATTTGTGATAAAATATATTAATCCTATTTGTGATGAGACATTTCAGCTGATTGGAAGCCGATAAAAGAAAAAAAGGAGATAGCAGAAAATTACCTCCTGTACAGACTACGAGAGGCTTTAATGTAAAGTTGCTTAATAAGAAAAAATATTGATTCAATAATTTGTTTCATTGCACCCCTTTGCGACTCCCAAAATTGTTATGCCATCCTTAACTTTACCCACAATAACGAATTAGAATTCTTCAATGCTATGTATTCTCAATAATATATGGAGCAGAGGCTTGGAAGAACACTCAAGAAGGCGGAAATCAAAAAGTTATAAGCGTTCTAAAGATTCGGTTACACTTAGGTCGTAAGGGAATATTGTGGGTTGATAGGTTTACAATTGCAAATGTATTCCCCCAATTGGAAAACAGGAAGAAATAACAAAAAACCTTCAATATTTTGCACACATTAAATCTTAAATCAACAAAAAGAGTAGTCAAGGCAGAAGAACATTCTGGCTTAAAAATTTGAGGCGATGGTTTGCAATGGCCTCCAAGCAACTGTTCCATGTAGTTGTGAACAAAATCAAAATAGCCATGATGATAGCCAATTAGGAGATGGAACCAGAAGAAGAAAATGAAGTCGCCTGAAGACGTTTACCAACGGGTTGCTTACTATACTTTTTCCACTAAGTGACATGACGACGAATGTCATGTCCACTAGAACTGACAAACGTCGAAACACTATAAGTGTTTTTAATATCTATCAAAAACTGATTGTTCCCAACCCGGGACTAAAGTATCGGCTTGCAACAATGTTTAATGAAACATGTTTTAATGTGACACTCGTGGTCGTGCCAAATCAAACTCGTAACTAAAACGGCATTTATCGAACACTATTTGAATTCACGCAATTGTTCCTATATTGTTTAATATTTTCAACTAGAAAAGAATTTATCTAGATGTTTATTAACGTGCATTTTCACAATAGTGAGAAAAAAAAAATCAAATCTAATTTCGCGCACTTATGTGAAAGTAAATAAATTTTTAGATTCAAACAAAGAAAAAATTCTCCAAAATAAGAAAAATACCATTTCAAGGTTCACAAATCAAAATTCTTTAAAAAATTCAGATTCAAAGTGAATTAGTTATTGTAAAAGGATACCCGCACTTATTAAAGTCAAATCTAATTGCGCATACTTATGTGAAAGTACTTAATATGTTTAATTTACAAAGTGAATAACCGTATTACCAAAATTTGTTCCTTTTTTCAAAATAAGTAAATAACCAATCCAAATGACAATAACAAACAGCTTTTTTTCAATAAACGGCGACAGGGAGAGAGATAGGAGTGTCTGGACTATCGCATTTCCATACCATCAGTGCGTCAGACATACATTTCTTTTTTGGGGGAGTAGCAGTCGAATGTATTAAGTTACGTGGTGCGCTAAATAAGTTGCCCGATCGGAACACTTCCAGTTCCTTTTCACGATGTACTCGGTACTGTATTTTGTGTTACTCTGCTTTGGGGGTAAATACCAATTCTCGTTAAGCGTTTAAAGCAGTTCGCAATAGGCGACGTTTTTTTTAACCGATTAGGAAACATGTTTCATGCTAGCGTCGCTATAGACAGTTGTCCCCCGAGTTCGCTTACTACAACCCCGGCCCGTCTAAGAACTGCCATTTTGTGTAACTATGACGCAAATATTAGGCCGGTCAAGGACCATCAGAATACAACAGCCGTGACGTTTCGTCTCCTTCTCAAATATTTTAATTATGTAAGTTTTTTGTAAATGTTATAACTGTTGTTTGATACTTTTGTTTCCTCCGTGCCACCAATTCAATTAAAATTTTTAGCGCTTTTCTCTGTACGTAAGTTCGCAAATGTTAAAATTGGCTTTTCTGATGAACTATGAATTAAATAAGTGTTGTATAAGAACAATTATTGCGAATTCTTATTTTATGTTTTAGGATCACTTTACTCACACCCTAAGTATAGACGCATGGCTCTCCGTAGTAAGTATTACTTCGATTCAATGGATCGGCGTTTAATGAGTACACAAGCTCACTTTCAGTTTTGGGTAGATCAACATTTGCGTTGGAAACCCAATGATTACGATGGTATTACCAGCATCCATCTGAAGACTTACGAGATATGGGTTCCCGATTTGTCCGTATATAACAGGTAGATAATTGCAATTATTATAAAGAGGATCCAGATCATAGTATAAAGTTATTCCTTAAGTCTTAACAATGACAATAGTTGTCGAGTTAACTAGTTGTGTCCCAATTTACCTCAAAGAAATTCAGGAAAATATCAAGTTGGATAATCCCGATAATACACATCAATTATATTTGTATTTAGACAAATGTTCAGCCACTTACCGATGACACAGCAATGCTGGAACTATTATTATTTTAAGGCCGTCAAATGACAAACATACAGACTTCCGAAAAAAATTAAAATCTAAATAAAATACCATTGACCTATGCATTATTGTTAAAATGCCGATAACATTGTATTGAAGGTTAGTTTTGCTCGTATTGACATTTCTAATCCGTTCGAAGCAAGCAAAGACAAACACGTTCGTTAAGGAATGCCAACATTTACCGACAAAATTTAAGGCGTACTATTTCTCGCTGTTAAATTCGATTACAGAAAAGACCAATCCGGGGAAGCGGGGGTCATAGAACTCACGACCTGCGCAGTTTCCTACAAGGGACTGGTGCTGTGCGTGCCTCCGGTCCACACCGAAGCTCTCTGCGTTCCGAACCTGCGCAGGTATCCGTTCGACGTGCAAAACTGTACTGTCAGGTTCGGATCGTGGGTGCACAAGGGCGAGGAAGTTAATTTGACGGTGCTCAAGCCGGCGGTAAACACGGACGACCTGATGTCGAACGGCGAATGGGAATTGCTTGGGGCGACAGGAATTCGGCATTCGGGGAATTACGCGTGCTGCCCGAATGTCACGTATCCGTCTGTGGATATCGCGTTCGAGATAAAGAGGCACTCGGGAGCTCACGCTGCCAGTGTTTTGTTGCCGCTGTTCGGTAATATTGGATTTCTCTTGTAACAGACCGTTTATTTCTAAAGGAAACATAGGAAGTCCAAATGGTGGAGCAAATTTTACATTAGAAAAAGCATGACAGTAATGGGGATTGCTGCCTTTCTCTTGGTCACTTTTATAAATGGGAGAACGGAGTGCTGTCGTCGTTTCACTACTTTATTTACCGATATATTTTTACTAAAATTATTGACACATTATTATTTGGTTAAAAGATATTATATTATAATATAATATATTTCTTAAAAATACCTTTGAATTTAAGATACTTAAATAAATAAAAAATATATATTATTTTATAAGAGGCTTAAAACATATATACAAATGTTTACATTTACCTAAGCAATATTGTTTACCTAAAATGAAAAATTTTACATTTTCTTTAAAATTTGTGACAACTAAATGAAAAATAACTATTAATATAATATATAATATATAATTGTAAGTAATACATTATTTATATAATCATATTTATATATTTTATTTATAAAATGGCTGGATGATTTATTATTTATTTATAAACCAAAATCAGGTATAAATGATTTAGTTACCCAAAAAAATAAACTTATTTTCGCGGTTATATTATACATTGTTTATTAATTAACGCCAGCATGAAATTCTTGTAGGTGTCAACAAGCGATTTATCAAAAACATCAAAAAACAGTTAGAAGAAATAAGAATGAAATATAATTACAGTCCAATGATGTGCAAATAAAGCAATCCCCATTGCTATCTGTCACTCCAAATAAAATTTGCATCCCAAAATCATGCAACCAATATCACAATCGTATTAATACGTGAAAAATAACCAAAATTGGTAAAAATTTGACGTTAAATGTACTTTTAAGGCAGTTTAAAAATAAAATTAATAATTCTAATGAATAGAGGGACTTATGATGAACCATCCCTTAGTTTGCTAATAAGTTTTACACCAAGGTACTAAAAAACAATAAATTAATTATTAAACACACATCAATAAAAATAAATTTATTAATTAGTGAAATATTGAAAAACAAATAAAAAATGTAAACCGTCAAATTTTAACTTTTAGCTTGCATTCTTCTTACTTTGACATCGATGTGGATGTCGCCGATCAACAAAGACAGACTGACGCTCAGTTTCGTTAATTTCATCTCGCAAGCTTTACACGTTCAACACGTGTCGTTTATGGTACCTTTAAACGGAGAAAATGTTCCTAGCATACGTAAGTTTTTAAGCTTCGAAGTTTTTCTGCGATTAGGTCAAAAATAATTATCTTGCACATTGCAGTTGTTTTCTCCAGAGATTCGATGCTGCTGGCGGGTGTCAGTGTAATAGCGACGATATTCTTGAAATACTTAATGGAATCGAAGTCCCTGGCACCCGTCTGGATATCCGAGACCGTCACTTTTCTCGTCAGCTTTCGCACTGGACAAGCGTTGCTTCTGTCTGACAGCTCATTAAAGGTGCCTTTTCTAGAAACCTTCTGTTTGACCTTTCAAAAAAATCATGGTCTTTTTTGTCGGATAGTGTATTGTACGATTGCTAGTACACTGCTCGCACAACCAGAGGGAATGCTTGTGTGTATTCGAATTAATCGTTAAATGGAAGAAATTTATATATGTATATTTTTTCAATCCAATTTCTTGAAGCTACCGTTTATTTCCATTCTAGGGTGTGGCGGAAGCTGAAAACAAGGAAGACGGGATCACCATCCTTCCCAACTCTGAACGGGATTCATCGACAGATGTGTGGTTCATGTTCGGGAAGCTGCTGGACATTTTGTTCTTCATATCTTATGTGGTTACCTACGCTGCCATGTCACTTAATTTTTAGTTACAGCTTTATTAAATAATTATAATAATATATTAAATAAAATATTTGTTTAATATCCGGTGTTTATTTGGTGAATGTTTAAAATATTCATGTAATATTGATATTCATGATCATTATGACTCTAAACTATTTAAAAAAGCCACAGCCAAGAACTAGTTTTGAATACAAGTCAAGCTAAAGTATATTTTTAAAGTAATTTGAATTTGAGGATGATACATATGTAAGGCCGAAACCTCGACGAAGGGAATATTTTACTAAAAACCGTCAAACGCTTTTCAGTAATTGTTTCGCGACCAAATTTTATATGCAACATATAAAATATTAATTAAGGGGAAAAGAAAAGGGAAAGCCGGTTATGGAAGAATAAAATTTGCAATATTTTCGAAACGTTTCCTGAGTATCGTACCACACCCCGACGTTTCAAACATAAAACAAAGTTTTAAGCTGATCGAACATCGATCTCAATGCTGCCAGTAAACTCCATACGGTGATTATGACGACCAGCCAGTAGGTGGCGCTTAGTGCGTTCTCCGATATAAAACTAAAGTATATGTTGGAGTCGATTTTCAGCCACAGACTAGCGATACCGATGACGTAACCGGCGCAGCCGAAGAAATTGTGCACGAATTTTATGAATACGGGCCTGATCCATCCGGGTAAGGCTGAAGTGTTGGCTGCCAGTAGTCCCGTAAATAACGAGATGACGCACAAGAGCCAAGACACCAACCCTATAGATATCAATTTTATTTTTGAATCCATCCCGAAAACTTATAGGAGTTGACTTTAATAAGTAGTACCTACAGTTTAGTTCAAATTACACAGTTGAAATTTTGACAAAATTACTGCACAGACAATCGAAAATTGACTATCGAATCGACGTATCTTATGATGGCATAATGCATTAGACATAATATGTTTAAACAGATATAAAAATAAAAAAAATCCTTAAACACATCTCTCAAAAACGAGAAACATGCAAATTTTCCTGCAGTCCATCTACAAAAACGAACGGACGAAACAGTCGTTTACATTCCTGCTACATTTATTGACGGAAGTAGCTACGTAAACATATTACTTAAAACCCAAAATTATGATAAAAACGAGTTGTCTCGCAACGTATTAAGTTGATCAATTACCCGCGACTAATCCTGATTTATTATCGCCTATTACGTCGCTTTAATTCTTTTTTAAATGGGAAACGTAATTAATTTTTAAATAATATGCGTATCATTTTCCTATGTAATTTTTTTATCATTACCTAAAATGGCGTGGGAGCTCTTAAAATGAGTGGAGTTCGATTGTTGCCTCTTCCTGTGGGTTTCGATGAAAATGCCGGCGGTAAGAACCGCCACGCTAAACCCAAACAGGACACCGTGAATGACGTACCTTTTAGTACGGGGTATATTTATAGTCCATAAATTGTAGTCGGAGAATACGATCACTGCGATAGCCATTAACGGTATATACTGAAAAAGATAATTATTTTCATTAATTATACTCAAAAGGTTTTGTGCAAATATACATGGTGTTACAAAAAACATGCACCAACTCTCAGGTGAGATTCGTCATCCAAACAAACGTTCTACTTAATTAATGTTTTAATTAGATTTAAATTGTGAAGTCAGGTGCTCTCCCAGGAGGTACCATAATAAATGGCATGGTCAAAACGCCAAAGAAGTCGGTTTTTTTGAATTTGTGTTATTTACTTTGAATATATTTATTAAAATATATTTATTAAAACTTAACTTTCTTTACTTTGGGGTTGTTTATGTATTTTCCTTGGTTTTCAAGCGAAAACATAAAAATAATAGAAGTTGGGAAAACGTATTTTTAAGAACATTTATTTTTGGTACCCTTTTATACGCAATACATTCAGTTCTAAAATATTAATAATAAAGGAAAAAATAAAAATGATGGCCGTCAGTATCATTATATCATTTTTGTATGTCGAATTTTCAGCCGATCGTTGGCGCATATTTTTTGAAACATGGCTATTCGCTATTTGCTATTAAATGAATGTTTATTGAAACTCTGGACATTTTCTTGGGGTATCTGGGCCCGTTTTCGAGAGAAAATATAAAAATAATGAAATTTGCCAGAACGCACATTTATTTTTTGCACCTTTTTATACACAACAAACTTAGTTCTAAAATATTAACAACAAAGAAAAAATTAAAATGACCGCCATCAGTCGTTTGTATTTATATTTGACACCCCGTATTTTGGAAACCTACATTTGCATGACTTTTTTAATGACGAATCTCTAGCCGATTACTGGATCATTTTTTTGAAACACCCTATATATTCCATATTGAAAAGTAAAAATAAATGAATTTTGATTTAGGACGATGGCAAAATTGCTTAATATTGCAACTTTATTGCCAAATGCGGAAGCTACCAGACTCCTAGTTTGGTGCGTAAGTAAGTAACGATTACTACGTCCTTGACGGTTGATTAGTAATTTGTTTACAATATAATAAAATAATCTTTCATTGTTATCGTCTCGATTCCTATCTCGCTTAGATCTGATACCCGCTGTCGTCTGTACTGGTAATAGAATATGAGAATGTTGTCGTCACAATTTTATGTTATTTCATCATATTTTTTAATCTACCGTTCATTACTAATTTGCAAAACTGCAAAATAAAATTTGCACCAAGAAAGCGGAAACAGCCCATCCTAATAAGGGAACAATTGAAGCAGCAGCTACAAGAAGAGTTTTTAACACAAACACAGTAGAAGATGGTGGCACCTTACAGGGTGGATCATTAATAATAGGAAATATATAAAAGATTTAACACTTAGATAAAATGATTTACAGTACGTGGCTGAATTGGTATTTTCCATACATTTTGTACATTGCAACGATAATAATATCATTACTTTTCGAGAAATTTAAACATAGCACAATTATTTTGTTGTCAGTATTTCGGTTAAGATAAATAGAATTTTATTCCATACAATAACATTTATTGCATGATTTCCACAGAATAGGTGCGAAGAATAAAGTGATTTGCGTTAAATATTGGTAAAGATAATAATTTAATACCCCTCTCTTTAGATATTAAGGAAATCATGGGTTTTGGCTTGGGTTTATAGAGAATCAAATTCTTATTTGATTCTCTACAAATTGATTTGATTATATTCTTATTCGAATTTTTTATTGGCTTCTTCAGAACTCTAAAAGAGATCACATACTGAAAAATTACCATTGAACAACAATTATTATAAAATGAAAATGTTAACAATAAAATAAAAAACGAAAAAACAAGGAAATAAATGTGTATACAACAATACATTTATTTTTGTCTTTTCTTTTTGTTTCTTTTTCTGGTTTTCTTGTAAACATTTTTATTTCATATAAGTTCATTGTTATACAGTTCATTTATTAAAATATATTAAGTACATTATCTAATTTATAGTCCTTTAGAAAGCAATAAAATTGTCGAAATGTCGACCAAATAATACACTGATACTCTACATACCCAGATCAAAACCCATCATTTCGTTAACATCTCATGTTCCCAATTATTAACTTTCTATAACATTTTTTATAAAATTAACCTGAATTGTTTTTATTCTACAACATTTTACTCACCGCAGCCGTCGACAGAGACACGTGCCACAAAAACAGAGACGTAAAATTGCTGGCATTGTTGAAAAAGACCCACAGAAACAACACGCCGATGATCCCGACGATTTGGTAGAAGACGATGTTACAAACGTAAAGACTTCTTTGGACCAACGAGACCGGTTCAGATTTTTGCGGCTTCTTCTCGAACCACAGCGTCATTTTATTATTGTTGTTGTAGATATTGGCGAGTGGTTCGAGATGACAGTGAGCTTTCCGAAGGGAGTATTTGACTTTCCGTCGATAAAGGTGGAATTGACAGGGGATTAGTCAATTGCGTTATCGGTGTCTTCTAAGCGTTTTTTTTTATTGGCGAATTATTGTAAATGTTTTCGAAGTGTGAATGTTTAATAAGTTAAGTTGCAAAAAACGAAAAATTCGGAATATAAAATAACAAACTTTTTTTTTTGTTTTCTGCCCATAGCACAAGTAAACATTACCTAAACGAATAAAAAATGACGTTTACCTCATGAATTGGACAATTATAACATATCATGCAAAAAACTTGATTTTTTTTTTTTTAGCCACGAGTGATTACAGAAGTTTTTCAACTCGTTGGCATTTTTATTAAGACGTACTAAGAGTATTTAGGATTATTCGGAATGTTCGAAGTGTTTTCGGAGCGCGAGCATTGAAGATGCCAAGTGAGATTTTGGCGAAACGTCTGCAGGATGATGTCCCGGAATATATATATATATATATATATATATATATATATATATATATATATATATATATATATATATATATATATATATATATATATATATATATATATATATATATATATATATATATATATATATATATATATATATATATATATATATATATATATATATATATATATATATATATATAAATCTATCTAAACTACAGTGTAAAGTTGAATAATGTTACAACTAGTTTAGAAATTTCCTCCATCTTTTCTTATCTAGTGCCATTTTAGCTGCTTCCATTATCCTCAGTCCTCTTTCTCTTAGTATATTCACTATGTTCTGATCCCATGTTAGCTGCGGTCTTCCTTTGTTTCTTCGGCTGGATCTTCTCGCTTTTCAGATCAGTTTTGTTAGACGACAATTACAGCAGAAAGAAAAAAGGAAATCTTAAGATGGATGTTGTAGCCCGGATAGAGGCTAAAAAGATAGTAGAATGGAACAAATTGGCAAATATATTCATTTATATAGCGGGGTACCTAAGGGAAAAAGAGCCAATACTCATTAAAGAATCAGTTAAAAATAAAATAACGGATTGGGCAATAATTAATGAAAATATGCTAAAAGGAAATGTTATATTTCTAAAACTAATGAATTAAAAATTACTAATGGGTTCTAGAATCATAAAGATATTCACCGTTACACCTGGGTGCAACCAACTCGGAGTCTAAAATCTATTATTGACTATTTTATTAACGGGCAGAAAACTGGTATCCTGATAACTGATGTCAGAGGAGCTTTGGAAAAGCATCAGGTCCTGAAGGAATTTACTCTGATCTGCTCAAAAATGGAAGCGAAACATTATATACTATGCTAAGTTATATTTTCAACTTGAGCGTTAATGGAAATCCAGTTCCAGAAGCATGGAAAACAGCTTATATCACCCCAATTTACAAAAAAGACAATAATAAGCATTGTGAGAATTACTGACTGGATGACTATTACGAGACTTGATACAGTTAGAAATTAATGCACAATAAGGAAAGTCTTGTAACGACATCTTATTCTGCGTCAAGCAAATCATTGAGAAGAAAATGGTCATTACAGAGATACACATATAACATTTGTTGATCTTCAACAAGCAAAAGCAATACCGACAACAAGACTTTGGAAAATCCTAAAGCACACATTGCTACGCTGCAAGATTTGTCTAATGTAACATCATCAAGAGTGAAGTTAGGGAAATATGTCACAAAGAAACTGATCGAAGAATATGGGAAATGGTGGAGAACCTGGTGATCTACAATTAAACGGCACATTAAACATTGCCAAGAGTACAAATATCTGATAGTTTTGATGCAACAGTAACAGGCAACAGGGAAATAGAAAAAAGTATAACTACAGCCAAAAAAGCAATGGCATGTCTAAATGGAATATAATGGAATAAAAATATAACAAAAAAAAGAAAATATAATATATATGAAACATCCAACATAAAATCCAGCCTACTATATGGTGTTGAAAGTTGGAGACTTACAAAAAAATATAGAAAAGTGTAGAAGCTGTTCAGATGGATGCAACGCGTAGGTCACCACGGATTTCTTCAACAGGGTTCGAAACGACAAAGGAATTATGGGGATCGAAGGAAACGTTGTAAATGATATTGGAAGGAAACAACTAATTTGGTATGGACACGTGCAACGAATGCCACATACAAGACTTCCCAAACAACCAACCTAAAGAACCTAAAGAACACTGAGAAAGAGAGAAAGACCAAAATCATGTTGGGAACATTGCTTAATAAAAGCGATGAGCGCAAGAAACCTGCAAGGTGTCGATTAGAAAGATCGGAACAGGTGGAGGCAAGGCGTCGGACAACGTCGAAAGACGTTCTAAATCGATTACATACATACATAGATATGGAGACATGAAAATAGTAAAAAAATTTTGGTCGACTAGCTTAGTTTTATTTTGGTGGTACAACGATCCTTCTTGCTATCGGCAGTACAATTTTGCTAGTCAAATATACTGCAGGCAACATTTAATTCAGCAGATGAGACTGATGTATTGACTGAGCTCGTATTCCATAAAAATGAATTGGCATATTTCTAAATTTAGGAATAAATAGCTATCGCCAAGGTAATCTCATCATTGAGATACAATGTACTCACATATCATTCTTTCCGCAGATTTGTTATCTTTATGATCGGTCGGTCACGTAGGCATCCCAGAAGAGATTTTGCGGTGCCCGCAAATGACAGATGCAGGAGACGTATGCTTCCAATTAGTGCCTTTTTTTTTAATTCATGAATATTTTATCGGAATTTGTAATAGTAATTATAATGTTTTGCTATTAACAGACAAACTGACTCCATGTTTCAAAATCGCAACAATTTTTCGCAATCCTTAGGTTTTTATATAAAAACGAACGAGAAGAAGCACAATAGACTAACAAGAAAAATGTGATTTCTCCAGTTTTCGAATACACTACCGGTAATAAATTAATAGAAACTGATGCGAACCGAAGTAAAATTCGGAATTTCGAGTTTAGGTGACTTCCACTTTTTAGTTGTTTTTGCTAATTCGATTATGTAAGCTTTTCGACCTACACCTGCAAAAACACAATTTCATATCAAATATTTTTAATCTACGCCTTTTCGCTAATTAAACAATGGATCCACTCGAATCCACTTTTTATCTCTAATTAGTTTAAGGAGCCGACATTTGATTAATTTCCACAACTCGCTAATTACTGTTTTAACAAATAATCGTTTCAATTACTGGGGATGAAGAGGATTTCTCAGGTTTTGGACAGATTTAACGTAATCCGTAATTAGATGTCCGCTACCGCATTTGTACGAGCGAAAGAATGACGGCGTATTTTTTCAAGAAAAACATCTTATCTGAAGTGGGGCTGTTCTAAATACCCACTTATCGAGATGAATGGAATACAGAAGCCCCAGCCGATATTCCAGACGATACCGCACCACTTTGTAAAAGATTGCGGATGATTACAAATTTCTACATGAACATGCATTCAGTTCATGCCCATAATTTTGGCGTACGTGACAAAATACTTCGCTCACAGAGCCGACAGAGCGGAAGAAAATGACTAAATTTAGGACTCTATTAGTATTATTGAAAATAATTACAGAATACATTAATTGCAGGTTGTCAATAAATAAAAAAATGTAAAAATATATTTTTGGCACAAAACTGCGAGAATAATATTTTTGATTTTTTTTCGTTGAAATATTTTGATTCTTTTTTATTTTTATTACTTCATTTCGTTTTGGGAAAAAAAAAACAAAAAAAAATCTCTTTTTCAACTGCATTTTGCAATATCCTAAGTAATTTACGAATAAAAAAGATTTTCTAGTTGTTTAACCATAAAAATATACAAAATGGCGTATATTTACTTTAGTGGGGTTTAGTCAATCCCCTGCTAACGCAAAAAATTTAAACAAAATCGACTAGAAGATTGTTAAGATATTTAAGATAAACGATGCTTTGTAAATGAGCCACTCAAGTTGCAAATGTCAAAATTTCGCAACTAAAATAGACTTAAAAATGGTTTTTATAAACGTTACCCCTTACCTGAGTAAATCTGTCATTTTTTTTAGATTGGAACCATTCTCCATTTATTATTATTCACACAGCACTGTAAAAATATCTTCCTGTTTTTGAAGTTTACGGGAAGCATTCAGTGTCTTTTTTGTAAATAATAATCTCCTAATTCAAGTACTTGTAGGATTGAACATACATCATTTCAAACCGCGTCAATTAAAAAAAAATCCTATAGGTGTGATAGTAAAATCTTTTGTTTGTTAAATCACTTAGACTTAAAGCAACATTTAACTTAAAAAAATAACACAGAGGCGTCGCGAATTTGGGTTTCAAATTTGATAAAAAAATTACATGTCAGAGACGAATGCACGAAGCAAGCAAAGCAAAAATCACCCCCGCCACTGGACGATTATCAACGGCCACATATCGGTTCTTTATCGTAAATTTTAATATTTATAGGAAAATCGCTACTGTTCGAAGCTCATTTTTTTCCTTCCACGTTTCTGATTTTTTTTGAGGAAGAAACATGGGCGCCGAAAAGTCAGGCGAAGTGTCTTTCATCCAGAGGAGCCTGTACGCCGGGAACACCGTCTTCTATCAGGTGGTGGGCGTCATTAGCGTCCTCTTTATGTGGACGTTTTTTGAAAACGCAACCGACTTTAAATCCTTGTTCCTTTGGCACGTCTCATTGTCAACGGCCGCAGTAAGTGTTGAAAACATTAAATTTATAATAATATTTATATCGGTAATTACAATTTCTGGTACAAAAAAGTAAAATGTTATACGCAATGCTTTAAGGCGCTGTAAATTGTTTTTAAAATTATAATTTCTTCAAAATTGACTAAAATACCGTTACTTGGGCAATTCTAATAAACCCTCTATAAATATTCAATTTGTGTTTATAATTTTTTTTAAATCATTTCTGAAGCCGATTAACACCTTCATCTTTGTTTATGCTGCTTTAGCATATAAAGGAACGTGTTAAATTCTTTACTTGACACCACAGTTGTTTTCAATGTTTTAGTTAGTTTGTTTAATAAAAACATTTCGAAAATGCCTTCTTCAGATGGGACCCAAAAACGATTTTTTGATCGTTTTCATTTGATGAAAATTAAACCGCACATGCTGATTAAGTCATGAAATTTAATGCTGACGAAATTTTAATGATTTACAAAGAAACTTAAACAGGCTTAAGAAGGATTCTCGAACATTTGAAAAGAAATATTAATATTTTTTAAAGGATCATTACCACTTAGTCAGTTATTTGAGGTTTTTCCAATTAAGCAGTTTTTATTTCCAAGAACTACCTCTCGATGACCCAGTTAAATTTCATTTAAGTATCTTTTACCAAAAAATCACTGGTTTTGAAGCTATTGGAAGTTTTAGCAAGTAATTATTTGAATTAATTTTGAATGGCAAAAATATTGTAAATTTTTTTAAAATTCAATTTTGACCCAATCAAGCATATATTCTCACTTTTATTTAGACTCAGTGCTAATCAGCAAATTAAAAATATGCAGCTTTTACTATTTTGTACTAAAATACGTTCAGCATATTTTATATTTATACATAAATTTATTGAAAGTCTGCATATGTAAAAATATATAGAATCAAAAAAAATTTTGAATGCTATATGTAAACAGTTTAAAAATATCTTGGACACGTCATTAAAAACTATTTATTTTTTGCATGTTTTTAGCCATATATGTCGAATCCAATGTGCAGAGTGTATTTATTGTTTAGTTAGAAGTTTAGCTGGTGTCATGACTAAGTAATTGCTGGTGAATAGAAAAAAAAACGGTATGGATAAAAATACAATGTGTTATCCTGCAAAAAGGAAAATAATTTTAAAATACAGTGAAGTAGTATCAATGTTAAAGTGATCCAAGTCTATGTTTTATAATGCCATTAAACATTATAAAACTCATGGTATTGTTAAAGTATACCTAGGGAGAAAAGGCCTAGAATACCAACAGAAAAAGTGGTCAAAATGATGGTATGTATGGTGAAAAACCGCCTCTTTTAACTTTAGTAGATGTTAGTACATCCTGAGGAATCCAGAAGATTTGTAAATCACCCAAAGCATATTCCTAGAATTTTAATAGCGTGTATCTTTGACACGCTTGAATTGTCAATATTTAATTTCACAAAAATGGTTTCCCATCAACTCTCGTGCAGTCTATTCTCACCTCCATGCTGTATAATCGTAATAATTGTAAATATTTATAAAATATACGCTTCTTACAACTTCTATAACTAACTAAGGTGAGCGGGCCACCCTGTGAAAAATAGTTGTGGAATAATATTGGTACGCAGAAAATGATCCAATGCCACCAATTAGAACGTCGTCGGTTCGTCGCCGACTTAATGACTTTCGTCTATTTGGAAGAGTTTTCCGAAAAAAGTCCCTTGCTTTGCCTGGAAAAAGAATCGTTAAATTCGATTTCAGTTCGCCTGGGATCATTCGATTTGGACACTTGCTCAATTGAAAAATATACTTTGGTTGGATGAAACAAAGACGCATTGGGTTGGATTGGCGTACATATGTATGAAGTCCTACTGAAGAATTTCAATCTGGTTCAATCATGAGGTCATGGTATGAAGTTGGATCAATTAATGAAATAGGTGGAATAATGGATCAAGAGAAAAACAAAGCTGTTATAGAAAATGTAATGCTGCCATATGCAGAAGAAAAATTACCCGTGACCTGGAAATTTCTGCAGAATATGATCCTAGGCATAGGGCACGGCCAGAAGCTGGTTTGAGCACAACCTTATGGATTTAATTGAATAGCCCTCATGTAGTCCAGGCCTGAACCCGACAGGACATCTATGGAATGATCTTAACAAAATGATTCAGCCCAAGCAACTAAAAATCGAACGAAAAACGAATTAGTGAAGTATTCTAGTCCGTCGCTGTCAAAGTCTAATTTAGTCCAGGCAATGAACATGTTTAGATGTAGAAAAAGATGAAGGTTATCCTACAAATTGACTATTGATTTTCGTAGATTTGGAGTGCAATTTATTGTATGTATCGAGCCTTTAGAAATAAATATCACATGTAAAAATACAAAACAAAAAGGTTTCCAGATACCGATTTTTTGAAGACGCTATAAAAGAGAGTATCTTCGGAAGAAGGCAGCTTCTGACAAATTAGCGGAAAGTTTTTTGAAACACCAATACAATTAATTCCACTAATTTATTACAAAAATTATGTTGCAAACCTCGTCATATATTTTATAAATAAAGGAAAAAAATTGGCAGATATTAATTTTCGCTGATTGTAATGAGCTTTAGGGATTGATTTCAATTATTTTCTTTTAGGCATTTTTTTCCTGAAATATATACCACAACAATTTCTGTCGATAAATATATTTACTTCATTTGTTGTTTAAATTCCTTCACTTAAGTATTCTCTACGCAACTAATGATTTTTTATGTTACCATTGTTTAGTACCTGCCTCTGATGGCCATAGGAATAATCTTATTTTCTGAAGACAACGCTTGGACTATCGGTTTGCCCAGAACCAAGAGGTACACCATCCACGGTATCCTGTTCGCCCTCAGCGTGATTGCTTTGACGGCTGGTATTTTTGTCGAAACCGCCAGTAAGAACAAAAACACCAATCCGACGCATTTCAAGAGCAAGCATGCAATATTGGGTAAGTTTTATTTACCTATATTTTTCGTTTTCGCGTTGGGAGGTCGATTCACTCATGAAATTTTATTTTATCTTTTGAAAATCTGATGGAGAAATCAATAACGATCAACTAGAATATTTTAAGAGTAAATATGTAATAAGAGGCAATAAGTTTAGTTAGTTTAGTTTTTAAGTGAAAATGAAATAACCAATAATTTAATTTTTCAAGGTACTGACGATGAAATGACGATAAAATGTTGTTCTTCTAAACTATAAAATGACGCGAACCTAAATACTTGAAAGCTTTTAGATTAAATTAAGCCGGCGGCTTTTTTTTTTAAATCTAATATTAATCTAGATTACACAACAAATACAAAATATATAATACGTCAGTGCAATTATTTATTATATTGATAAACAGGCAAGTTCGTTTGTATTTCATATTTTAGTCACCTAATTTAATAAAGTGTAGGGATTGGGAACATTGAAGATTTGTGAGACGAAGCTTCAAAATTGTGTACGTTTTGTAAACCCCATATTATTCAGTTTTTAGTGTCGATATCGCCAATTTTTAATAAGCACACAAAACAACAAAATTAACATAAAACAAGAAAATTACGTCTCACAACGCGTTATTGCATATTACCACACACCAAACAAAATAAAGGCGAGTGCCTAGTTATCACAACTTATTTTTTGTTGCTATTGCTATCTCCTTTGCGTTTCTTTTTGTTAATTCATGATCCCTCAAAATATTTGTCCACTAAATTATAAAATAATGTAATGATAGTTTTACGGCGTACCTCCCTTTATAATAAAGCTAGCGTCTTTCAACTTTCATGACTAATGGCTACTTTTCATGAAATGATAAGTTGAAGAAATGACATAGTCATCTTGAATTCTTAGATACATTTTGTCTTCTGAATTAATGAAACACACTGTATGTCTTTTAATAATTTTATCTAATATACTATATAAAAATGGTATCAATAATTTATTTTTTTTATACAAATAGGTTATGGAAAAAAAGTGCATTGCAATGACATTTTGTAATTATGGGAAATTGGATTTAAAAGGGGTGCATTATCAATGTGTAGTTAATATAGCACTGACACATGTTAATTTTGACAGGGAACTATTTTTTTGCAATAAATTATGTAATAAATAATATTAATATTAACAATTACAATAATAATTTTCCGGTGTTATTTAATGGGAAATCAAAGAATAAAGGTACTTTTTCGTTGCCACTTTTTGAGCTCTGTCTAGAGATTTTAAGTACGACATATCGTTTCGGTGCATGCATACATCATCGACGTTATTCTCTCAAATGGGTCATGAAAAAACTACATGTACTTAATAGCATTTAGCAATGTAAAACATGTTATAATTCTACATTGTTTAACTCATGAAAAAGGGTTTGTTTTGTATTCGACCTTGATAATTAATGGGAATTTTCTTAACAGCACGTTATTAACCTTTAAGCTTTGCAGCTTTTTCTTAATTTCACCATCTTCGCACTTCTTATTGTTCCAAATACCCCCCTTATTTTAGGCACACCAATATATGTTTTTGTTTGTTTATTGAATTTTCGCCACTGGATTCGACGTAAAAAATCATAAACCAGTTTTCACTTTTTGATTACTTTACGCATAGTTCAGCTACAAGTTTTTAAATCCCCTGTATCTAAAAATATCTGCTCTTATTTAATGAAAAAGTAGCCTTTGGTTACGAAAGCCGCAAAACAATCAAAAACGGGACACACGGCATCAGGAAAGTGTGAGAAAATAATAAAGATTTTGATTTTTTTAATTTTAAATGATCATAAACTAAAAAGAAATTATTACACACACATTTGACATTTTGTTATTATAATGGTTTTATTAACCATTTACCGTGTTCCTAGTTTTTTTTAAATAGATTTAAATTATTCGTTTGCAAAATAATTTTTTTGATAAATATCTTTTAATGAAATTTCGGTGGAGCTTGATTATGAGCAATCTTGTGAAAGTGTCAAAAAGGTTTGCCCTTTTTGTAACAAGAAATAAAAACGAAAATATGAAATACAAATTTTAAAATTTTTGTCATAGCTTTTTAATCTTACCATTTCTTCGTTTCAGGTTTAGCATCGTGGGTACTATCGGTCATTTCCCTCTTCACCGGACTATTGGCGGCCAATACCGGAGCCCTGCCGAGGTGGATAAAAGCGGTCCTGGTCAAATTCGTCCATAACTTCTTAGGCTCGGCCGCCTACGTCATAGGCATCGCCAGTCTCTGGAAAGAGATAAACGGTGGATCGTATGGTAGACGCATTTCCGATCACGCTCTGAGCGCCACCTATTGGCTAGTGGCCATCATAACCGTTTGGAGTTTGCTGGCCGCCCTCAAGTCGATGTTTAATCAGTTAAAGACACTGTTTACGTAATTGCTTATCTAATAAGGCGTACCTATAGAGTACATGGAAGATCTGCACCAACGACGGTCAGTTGGAACCAAAAACACTAAACCAGTTCCGAACAGATCAATAATTGATATAGTATTTGAGAAGTAGTTGCGTGTCTTCTGCTGGCTTATCATTTTATTAATATGCTCTAGGCAAATTCAACCTCGCTACTTGTCGACTGGGTTATTTATTTGTTGCGTTAAGTATAGAACATTCATAGCTACGAATTGGTTTTATTTTGTCTTTATCGCTTAGTCGCAGATCATTCGTAGCGGAAAATTATAGACCACGCGTTTTGCGTTTTACTGGATAATGCTTAATAATTTTTTAATGAAACGCTCATACCGAATACACTTGTGCAGTATGACTGATCTTCCATTTTTGGATTTTTTCAACAGAAAACAATTATAGATAGCTATTCAATTTGTAGGAAGTATTACGATACAGATTAATTTTCGGGGGGAAATCAATAAATGTTTACAGTTTTTCGCTATTTCGAAAAACTCATATCATGATCTGAGTTTGCATAAGGCTTGACATTCATCATCATCGCGTGCCGTCTTCAGTGAAGGTTGGCGATCACATTGGCAAATGCTTGTCTATCCTGTGCCGTTCTTATTACTTGTTCAAAGTTCAGGCCGGTCCAGTTTCTGATGTTTCGCATCCAGGACAGTCGCTTTCTTCCTAAACCCCTCCTTCCTTCCAGCTTTCCCTCAACTATCAGTCGTGGCAACTCATACTCTTCGTGCCTGAGTAGGTGGCCTAAGTATGATGTTTTCATTACTTTTATGATATGTAGTAGCTCTCGCTCACCACCCACTCTTTGAAGTACTTCATCGTTCGTAATTCTGTCTGTCCAAGGGATCCTCAACATTCGTCTGTAGCACCAGAGTTCAAACGCCTCCAATCTATTCATCATGGCCGCCTTCAGCGTCCATGATTCAACGCCGTACAACAGGATAGGCCAGACGTAACATCGTACCAGTCTCAGACGTAGGCCCAGGTCCAAATATGAATCAGAGAGGAGCCGCCTATATCGCATAAATCCCTGGCGCGCTTGCTCAATTCTAGTCCTTATTTCGTAATCGGGGTTTGTGTCTCTTTCAATCCAGGAACCCAAATATTTAAAATGATTTACCATTTCTAGGACTTCGCCGTCGATTTGCAATGGAATCGGGATATTCTGATTTTTGCTAATTACCATTGTTTTTGTTTTCTTAATGTTGATCTTCATCCCATATTGTGAGCATGCTCTTTGAACGCTATCAATAATATTCCGAAGCCCGATGTCTGTGTCGGCCATCAGAACCGTGTCATCAGCATATCTTATGTTGTTGACAGTTTCCCCATTTACTTTGATTCCATCTGAGATATTCTCTAATGCGAATTTAAACAGCTCCTCCGAGAAAACATTAAAAAGAATCGGTGACAATATGCATCCCTGTCGTACTCCTTTACAAATCTCTATTTCCGCAGATGTATTATTTTTTGTTCTTAGTTTTGCTATTTGATGCCAATAGAGATTCTTTATTAATTGAATGTCCTTTCCATCGATTCCCACGTTGACAAGGGAGTTTAGAAGGCCTGTATGTGGAACTCTATCGAATGCCTTTTCGAAGTCAACAAAGCATATGCATATGCTCTTCTGCTGGTCCATGCATTTCTGAGCCAAAACCTGCAGGCTAAACAGTGCTTCACGAGTGCCCATGCCTCTCCTGAATCCAAACTGTTCTCTTGAGATTACCTGCTCGCATTTCTCCCGGATTCGATTGTGGATAATTTTGAGAAGGATCTTCAGGGCGTTGCTCATCAGACTAATCAACCTAAAGTCATTGCATTGACGAGGATTCGGCTTTTTGGGAATGGGAATGAATGTAGATTCCAGCCATTCTGTCGGAATTTTACCAGATTTATATATTTGATTAAGTAGTTTTAAGAAGAGATCCAAGTTTTCTTCATCAATTAACTTAATAATTTCTGAGTAAATATTGTCAGGTCCTGGGCTTTTATTGTTCTTTAGTTGGTTGATAGCGCGTTCAAGTTCACATTTAATTATGGTAGGACCTTCGTTATTATTGCTAGTGGATGGCTCTTCTCTTAAGTCGGCAAATAAGTCTCGGATATAATTTTTCCATATGACTATTTCCTCAGAGATGTCTTTTGCTTGCTGGTGGTTATTATCAAACAGTCTATATGGTGCTTGTCGCTTATTTGCTCCAGATAATTCTTTAATTTTTTTGTGCAGGTTGAAACCATCATGTTTAGGCTGTAGGTCTTCTATTTCCTCACACCTTTCCCTCATCCAGTTCTCTTTTGCTTCTCTGATTTTCCGCTGAATAATTGAATGGATGCGTCTATATTCTGTTGGGTTTTTGTTTTTGCATTCCCGGCGCTTGTCCATTAGATCTAGAATTTCTCTGGTCATCCATTCTTTCTTTTTCTTAGTCTCTGACTTAAGGTGTTCAGTTGTGACCTCCTTTGGTATATAAGATATTTCAGTCCAGGTCGCGTCAATGTTATCTGCTGTCCGCTGGCCTCGGTTAATTCGTTGGAGGTTGGCGTTAAGCTCGATCTGTAAGGAGTTTTTCTTTGCCTCTTGTTTTAATTGTTGACATTGAATTGTCTTTTTGGTTATATTTTGATGCTGTGACATATAACGCAAAAACCCAAATCATCTTAAGGACAATCTGACGCATTCTTTAGGGATGAGCTCATCAAACGCTGATAAGCGACCAATAAAGTTCGATAAAAATGATTTAAAATTACGACTCCAATATATTGCCTTAATACGTATTTTTATTAATCAAAAGTTACCCGAAGATCGGACAACAGCGATTCGATAACAAAAAAAATATTTCATCAGATAACTTAATGGATTTTTTATTTATCTGCGAGAATTTCGTCAAAAATACCACAACGATAGGCGAGTAGTTTTCGTTGCTCTTTCAGAAAATATAGTGCGGTTTTGAATACTACGAGAAAAAATGTCAGTGTTTCACGAACCCGTTTCTAATAGAAGCAGACTTCTATTTGCTATCCAAGGTGTTTTTCAAATGCTTCTTGCTGTTTTCGTCGGCTCTACAGTATGGCTGATGGCTTACAGCAGAGACTGGGGCGCGAAAGCGACGTGGCATATATTTTTGACCACCATAGGGGTAAGTAGAAGGAGAAACATATGATGTACCGTTTTTGGAAACATTTAAAATATCATAATATATATATGTTACTGGAAAAGTTTGAAATCCGGAATTGTATAGAATTACTAAGTATTATATAAACAATGCCCAAAACTATCAAACCATTGTATGAAATAAGTTATATTATATTAATATGTTAAGTTATATCCTCGGCTGTACCTGTTATTGATCCAATCAGACCTAGCGTGTCCTGGGCCAAACATCAGGCCAGGGGTCAACTTTGAAATTTTAAATGTACACCTCCATTTTTTATTACAGATTCGAATTCTATGCTTCAGAAACGGCAGGATTTGCCACAAGTTTTCTTTTCGATTCTCGGTAGATGGCGCTTTAATTGCGACAAACGAACAAACGACTTATTTTAATTGTCAAAAAATACAGTGATCAATGTTATGAATATGATTTTAACCTCCGTTTTAACATAATTTTGATACTTCCTGCTCTAAAATACAAAATTGCGCATTACTCATACGTGCGCACAGGGTCAATTTAAGACGAGAGTAAATTCAAGCGTTTTCCCTACTTTAGTCACGGGTTATGGGCGATCATATATTTTCGTTAGATTTAAAGCACTGTTGATTAATTGATGTCAGTACTGATAGTTATGTGACAAGTCCATCTTTTGGAAAAATGTACCGAAAAATTCACGGCTGCATATACAAAGGATAGTATTCAACAACCTCTTCGGACACTCATTTATAAATGATTAGTGCGTATTTTGGTAGTTGAGAGTAGGGAGTAAAAAAAATATGTTAAATTGAACGCTAAAGTCGAATTAGTAACATTGCATTGCATTGCAATGTGATTAGAGCGCCATCTGTCGAGAATCGAAAATAAAACTTCGTATAAAATTTGTCGTTTTTATGGCAAAGAATCCCAAACAGTAGTAATTGCCCCACTGGCAGTGGGGTCACGTTTGAGTTTATTCAACAGTTTTTTTAATGCAATATTAAATGGCACTTTTTTTTTGGTCAATTGCATAATTCTCGTCATTTTCCATCGTTTCCACACTTTTTGGACACCTGGTATACGTGCTGATTTAAATTAAGTGTTCATCATTGCTAATTTTGTTAGGAGTAAAGATAAAAAGTCGGTTAAAAATGAGAAAAATGTAGTCTTTTCAAATGGAACACTCACACGTACATTTTTCTAAATAGAAAACTTGGTCTCAAAAACCTAGTTTTATTTTGTTAATTATTAGCCGTGTTACACCAATTTGGAGCAACGCAGTAAATCTGTAAGGGTAAGAGAACGATACATAAAAATATGTCTACAGCGCATTTCACCACATAAACAATTTTTTCTGCGCCTTTTTCGAAGGAGACGAAAAAAATTAATAAGTGAAGACGTGGGAAGCCTATCGTGAAAATTCTATTCAAGATATAGTCATATTCTTTAATACTGCCGAAAGGATTTTTTTTCGACCAGATCAGGTGCTTTTCGCAGGGGATGCTGAGAGAAAACTTTTTTTGTCGTATTTTGGCATATTTTGTGAACTGAGGAATCAAATTTTTCAAATTCTGGGATTAATAATCCAAAATATCATCATTATTGATCAAGAGAAAATTTATTGCTACTCTACGGTGGACATTTCCAACAAGATGGCACATTAGCTCATAGCTTCCGAAGTACATATCAATTTTTAACGACCATTTTCAACAACAAATGGATTGCTACATATGGACCCATTCTTTGGCCTACTAGCTCACCAGATATTTCATTTCATTTCATTTCTACTTGTGGGATTATTTAAAGGATGAAATTTATAAGTAAAGATATTAAGACGTTGACGGTTCAAAGGCTGCAAAAAGAGAAAAAATAAACCAGATAGATGGCAGAACAATACTAAAGGCAATTCGCTCAATAGAAAAACCTGCTCAAAAATAAATTGAAGTACGAGGTGCTGTCTTTGAACACCTTCTAAAATACTTTTGATAGCTAATTTTTCAAAAAAACTTCCAGAGGCTGCTGTAATCGGTTTCACCAATCATCCTACTGGCTTCTTCAGAGCTTAAGTTCGACTTAGCAGCAGCAGAAATCTAGAAGTTTTGTTAATATAATATTAATAGTTATTCATAAATTAATTAGGTTTTTTAGTTTTTTTTTCTACTTTTTCCGGGGGAGTTAAACCGCTGGATGATTGATTCTTCCCATACCAGAATAATAAGTTTTCTCTAACTATGCTCGAGGAAACTTTTGTCACTGTTTCGGAAACTTTGACATGCGAATTTTGAAAGCGCATTTACGAGGTTAGCGCCAAAATTTCCCGGCCTGACATAGATGCAGCTCCAGTATCACGATAAAACCTTGTCTTCTTTTAAATATATATCTTAGTAGGCTGCGAAAAAAAATTTCGTCAAATATTTTTTTATTGACAGCATTTTAAACAAGACGTGTACGAAAAAATGTCGCTGCAGTCATAAAGTTTTGGACAAATGAAAGGTTAGCACCTAAAATTATTAAAGAAAGGCTGAATGGTGTGTACGGCCAAAGTTCTCCTTCGTGTTTTGTAGTGAAAGAATGGGCAAAACATTTTCGAATGGGGCAGGAGTCCCTTGAAGATGATTCAAGAACTGGTCGACCAGTGGAAGTCATAACCGAAGATATTGTTGCGATTGTGAAAGAGGTGGTATTGAGTGATCGACGTTTAAACGTCAAGGAAATTTTAGAAATTACTAAGATTTCTGATACAAGTGTTCGTCGAATATTGCTTGATCATTTAGGTATGCATAAGTTTAGTGCAAAATCGGTTCCTAAAAACCTTTCGGCTATTCAAAAACAACGCCGTGTCGAATGTGCCCGTTCTTTTCTGGAACTCTGTGGGTCGGAACCGAAGCCTCTGATAGAAACTATTGTGACGGGAGATGAAACTATGGTTCTCTATTATGACCCTCTATCGAAAAAAGAATCAATGTAGTGGCGTCGTAAGGGTGAAGCACCTCCAAGAAAATTCAGTCAGTCAACAAAAGTGGTGATGGCCACGATCTTTTGGAACTGTGAAGGAATTCTTTTAATAGATTTTAAAGAAACTAATACCACTGTCAATAGTAAATATTACGTAACATTATTACATAAATTACGAGACTGTGTACGTGGAAAACGTTGATGAAAACTGACCAGAGGCGTGCGTCTTTTGCACGATAATGCACCTGTCCACACTGTTGGTGTTGCACAAGCTGCCATTTTAGAGTGATCAACAGATAGGTCATCCTTCCTATAGTCCAGATATGGCCCCCAGCGACTATTATTTGTTTGGATATTTGAAAAAGGACTTACGTGGACGGCGGTTTAACGACAAAGTTGAGTTAAAAGAGGCTGTTTTAGCTCATTTTGCAGACAAACCAAAAGAACATTTTTCGTCGTTAATAAAAAGATGTAATAAGTGTGTTGAAGTTAAGGAGGATTATATTGAAAAATATTAAAAAATTGTTACTCTACTTTGTGTCTTTCATATTCAGGCCGGGAAGTTTTGGCGCTGCGCTCGTAATTTCAACAATATCGGCTGCCAATGTTAAAACGTTACGACAGAGCTTAAACTTGAAGAAAAGGTCTGAAAATCATCATCATTTTTTAAGTCATTTTTCACAAATTTTAAGTTCGCCCTGCTGATGGCCGAGGCCGTGTCCCTGCTAAACGAAGGAAACGTCTTTTATATTGGTGTAAACAAACTGAGGAGAGGACTCATACACGGGACGTACATGTTCCTGGCGACGTTATCGGCAGTTATCGGCATCGGTTTAAAAATTCAGGAAAAATCTGACCGCGGCAGTAAACATTTTACCAGCACTCACGGAAAATTGGGTAAGTATGTCTCTTCTTCACCATATACATCGGATGACACAATAAATTCAACGTTTTGTCAGTACAGTGACGAACATTTTTGTCTAAACAGACGCCAACACCGCTGCAGTGACAATAATGATATACAGCGATCATTTATTTTAAAATTCTGACCACAATTATACACAGGGAGTTTCAAAACGAATTGACAATAGAATACCACCATATTATTTGTATCAAAATATTTCGATTTTTCAAATAACCCTATGTCCTAAATACCTACACGAATTCATTTGGCACGAGCGCAGCGAGTGTTTAGTATATGAGTGACTTAAAAAGTTTACCGAACGTGTTGCATTCTATACTTTTTTCTACGACAGTTAGTTTTCGGGTGCATTTTTGCAAAACAACAGGCATACATTCACTGACATGATCGTCAGAATTGACAAAACATCAAACGTAAACATCCGATTGCTTCCAAACCCGAACCGTAATATCATGAAAATGTCCGAAGAAACTCACGTGGTAAAGTGGCGCATCCGGCACACTAGATCGGTGTATAATTAGGTATTCTACAGAGTAGAGAAAGGTGTTCTGTATTTGTATTTTAAGCAGTTTTCAAGATATTTACGTTTTTAACTCTCTGTGTATTTGTAGACCAAGTAATACCTGACTATTAAATTGTCATTAGAAATATTACTTTTAAATGGACTCATTAATAGTTGCGAGTGAATACCGACAAAGAAAGAAGACTGTTAAGACAAAAAAACAACCTACTATGTTTTCTGTTACTGTTACTAATAAAAAACAAAAATATGAAAAATTTTATTAGACATAATTGTAATTAAATCAAATTTTACATAATTAACTAACTTAATAATTATTGCAAAAAACGAAAACTTAAACTAGATGTTCTATGTGATCAGTATGCGCTTCGACGTATATTGTAATTCATTTAATGAAGAATTGTCTCAGTTTAAAAATGAGTGTTTGATGGATAAAGTTTAAATTAAGATAATTTTTTACAGTTTTGTCTATCAAGAAATGTCTATCAAGAAAATTTAAAATACCTCTTCGGTTAAAAGTACCCTAGTAAGTAAATAACATTTGGTTAACAAAAGTACGACCTTCATTTTGCTAGTTTTGAACAAAGGTAGAAACATACATTTTTGCTTGCAGATCAGGAGGCAATAATGCTGGACTGGTGTAAATTGATAGAGATACAGACTTTCCCTTTTTATTGTTATAAATACTGACGCAGAACTTACTCTAGTGGCAGCACTTAACCGACGAATACTTGTTTGTAGATCGCCACCTACATGGACTAGGATTTCTTCTTCCTGAATATCTCTGCAGACCGAGATACCGAGGAAGTGCTGCACGACCATCATTAATGGCATTGGAGATAAACACACATCATATCTGTCATTTCTCGAATTGAAAACCTAATACCTATTTTTAACAGAAATTACACAACGAAAAATCAACACAAATAATAACTTTCAAATATCATATAACTGCCACAATTATAACTTACTAGGTCTCCTATGATTTTAATTGTTTACTGAACAAAAACCAATCAAGGGCTACTTTAATTTTATAAGATATTAACTCAAAATCAATTCCTACTTTAATTTTGTAACAGAGAAGACTAACTGAAAAGTAAAATAGATACTTCTTTTTTAAATAAAATTATCTGGTAATAAATTAATTAATAATAATTAATAATACCTTGAAAATGGATTAAAACACAGATATTGAATAGTAATACATTTTTACTTACAAAATACCAAAAAATTACCCTTAAGAACTTAAATTTAGGAATCCACAAAAACATGTGTGCAGGTGGCGCTATCTATAAGTTAACGCAATACTGATTACATTACCTAATTTCTGATCCCCACATTTTTGTGCCTATATTTTTAAAATTGGGAATGTAAGTAATAAAAAACGAAAAAATAAAATTATTTTTATGAGAAAGTATTGACTCTAGGACATAGGTTCATTTGACAAATCGAAATATTTTGATACAAACAATATCCTGGGATTCTATGACCCATTCGGTTTGAAACACCCTGTATGTAATGACGATCTAAACCTCAACAACAAAGCTTTTTATATATAAAATTTAAAAGAAGAACCAATACACCAGTACCTTAGGTTCGGTAATATTTTCTTTATTCTTTTGAAAAAAATTTTCTTTCGCTTTTTTCTTTTATTTATTTATCAATTTATTGTTTTAGAATACATGTTGCTTTTTTAGGTATTGCTGCTTTAGTACTGACAATAACGGCCTGTCTCGGAGGATTGGGTGTATTGAACTCCTCACGTCTATACAGGGCCGGTATAAAACCAAAGTGGGTTAGGGTATTGCATATCCTTATCAGTTGCTTCGCCTACCTCATCGGTTGCGTGGCGTTGGGTTATGGGATTGATTCGTATTTCGGTGAAGCGACAGCTGATACCAAAAAAGGACTCATTACGGTTCTCGGTTTATACGTGGTGATAAGTTTGTCAGGTCCCGCGAATACTTTGTACAGCATTTTCGTGTAAATACTTTTTTTTTAAATAAATTTATTTGTATTTTCATTTTATGTAGTTTTTAACGCATTTTTGCAAGAAGTACATGACAATTTTTAAGTACTGCAAGAAGTGTTGAATTATATATATACCCCTACAAGTTCTTTGTAACCTCATTATTTTTATAATTTGAAAATTAGCAACTTATGAAATATTATCATTTTCTCTTGAAAAAGACAAATAAGTCATAATAAAAGTATTTTTAAACTTTAACTAATACATAAAATATAAATATAAAATAATCTCTTCAATTAGTTTTCAAAATTTTATTTCTTTATACCTTGGCAAAGTGCATTTCAGAGAAAAATCAATCAAATTTTCATTCTTTTATACCTTGTATACCGTGTATATTTTGTCTCAAAGTAAGTAATAACCAGTCGAAGGCAATAAAACACCTAATAATAATATAATATATATAATAAACATAATTACCAAAATTGTACGTTTTAATTCACAGTATAATTCTCACTCTCAGCATCGTCATTGAGTCATACTGTTATTTTAAATCTTAATTTTATTTTCGGCGCATCATTTTTCCAACTCTCATATATTTGTGATAATAATAATATTTTCTGCCCTCGCATTTGATTTTCATTTGGTGCCACAAATGTTCTATAGGGATGAATCATACCAAGGAACACATCTGTTCAACTAAACTATCACATATATATTATATTATAATAGCAAATAAATCTAACACAATATTCTTGAATTTCAGTTTTTGTACTTGATTAATTCGGTGCTTTTGTAGCAGGCGGCTGTGATACTTGCCTTATCAATTACCATGACAATTATCCCGAATAAAGCTGGAATGCACTTCCGCAATAACTATTACATTAATTATGATTTGGTGTAATAAATATGCATGGTATAATTTTGGACGGTATACGTATCTGTTCGGTTTTCTTCTAACTCTTACCAAAGACGTAAGAACGCTTCAATGTTTTGTATTTTATGGCTATTTGTCCGAAGTGACCCGGATCCGTGGAAAACAAAACTGACGTGGTAAAATGACATTTCCGCACGCTACGTAAGTGTATAATTAGGTATTTTACAGAAGGGATTAGACCGTTAGTTTGTGCGTACATTTTGCGAAACAACACGAACACATTCACTGACATGACCGTCAGAATTGACAAACGTCAAAATTCAAAGCGTGGGAAATATCTTCGAAAACATCCGATTGCTCTCAAATCCGTGCGGTAATATCCCGAAAATGTCCGAAGTGGCTTGGACCCGTGGGAAACGAAACTGACGTGGTAAAGTGACGCTTCCCGCACGCTAGATCGATGGGTAATTAGGTATTTTACAGACGGGAGTAGAAAAATGAAATTTTTCGTTTTCCATGATTCCGAGTCACCTCGGACATTTACCGCACGGATTTGGGAGCAATCGGACGTTTTCGGAGATATTTCCCACGCTTTGAATTTTGGTCATGTCAGTAAATGTATTGGTGGTGTTGTGCGAAAATGTACCCAAAACCTAACGGTCGTAGAAAAAGTATAGTATGCAACACGTTCGGTAAATTTTTTAACTCACTTGTTTATTAAAAACTTGTGAGTCAAATGCCGTTTAACTCACTTGTTGCATAATATACTATTTTATACGGTTATATTAAAGCATGCACTTTGCTGGGTACATTTTGTAGGAAATCGTCGTTATGAGTTCAGTTAAAAAGCTGAAATGTTTATTAATAGTAATCACCACCATTATACATAATTTTTTTAAAACTTATATCGTTTTAGATCTTGTTGAAATTCACTAAATTTTTAAGCATTTTTTACTCCTTTCATAATAATAATCAAATTTATCTGTTAACTGGGTTATGTAATCAATTATACTTTTATACGTCATTACTACTTGTTGATGTTAAACTTTTGAATTATTTGGTTACTTTTATTGAATAAAGAATGTCATATCAAAAAAAAAAAGTTACAAAGGATATCCCTACTGGGCACAGTTTTTTGTGCAAGCTTTGAGCTTTCAATTATCATCAATTATACTATGAAACTACGTCAATGAAATTATTCTAAATGAAAAAAAAATCTTATTATTTTAATGTACTTTCACAAGAAATACAAAACGAATGTTATAACAGTTAACCAATTAAACCTTAAAGTAAAGATTTGTTTATTATTTGAAAATTCGTCTACTCCTATTTCATGTCGGAAAAATACCAATATACAAATTTCCAAAAAAGCGGCCCCTTTGACTTTGGCGGTATCATAAATATTTCTGCTGAATTAGAGACACAAATTGTTTGGCTTCTTGCGCCTTAACATAGTGTCCCTTATTGAGTCTGTTAATTGATATTTAAAATTTTGAATAATCAATAATTGGGCAACTGCCATTTGTCTCCTAATGTAAATCCGACGGTGGATAACCCTACCTGAACGACCTCGTCGTTACATGCAGGACTTTCCCACAACGATATCACGCGGTTGGAAAACGCGGGAAATACCCATCGGTCTTGACCGCATTCGAGTGCAGATTTGTTTACAATTTGCAATCATACGAGACGCGACGTTTGTACGAGCACAAACATCAATAAGAATGTCTGCCGAGAGTGAAGTGCACGATAAAGTCCTGGGTTCGTTCAAAGAAAACGTAACCAGGTTCCTGCTAAACTACGTCGCCAGATTCGCTCTAGCGGGGGTGGTTTTGTATTCGAGTTACATCGCGCTGATAAGGGTTACGTGGTTCACGTGGCACGTCATATTATGTACTGCAGGGGTGAGTTGGCGGCAGGCTACCAGTGTGACATTATATTTGACTAGCCCTAAAGGATAATCAATTTTTTGAAAATATGCCGTTAAAAAAACTGATGTATTTACTGCATGGTTTTACTTTAGGTTCGTTCCAAGCACAGTATATAAACATTTTCAAGATTATGCGCAATGGCGAAAAGCACGATCCAACCCGAACCGCTGATTGTTGGATAATAATAGTCTCCTCCTCCTCCCCGTGGCTCACAACCCGAGGTGGGTCTTAGCCGACTTGACGATGCGCCTCCATTGTTGTCTGTCGTTCATTAGGTCTAGTGCGTTATCGACTTCCATTATTTTTAGGTCCTTCTCGATGTTATCCCTCCAGCGAAGGCGAGGCCGACCTAGTGGTCTTTTTCCTTCGGGTGCCTCTTCCCATGCTAGCTTGGCTATTCGGTTGTCTGGAAGTCTTTTCACATGTCCGGCCCATTGTAGCCTTCTCGCTTTTATTTCGTTGATGATATTGGGGTCTTTGTATAGTTCATATAGCTCCCTGTTCTTGCGTATACGATATCTACCGGTTGTTATATCAGTGACCGGCCCATAGATTTTTCTCAGTACTCTCCGTTCAAAAACCCTGATCCGCTCTTCGTTGGCCACTGTAAGTGTCCAAGTCTCGCATCCATACATTATTACGGGTCTTATTATGGTTTTATATATGGATAGTTTAGTCGTGTGTGTGAGATTTTTTGATTTAAGAAGGTCATGTAGCGCTGATAAACATCTATTACCAGCTTGTATTCTACAATTTATCTCTTCTGACCCATCAGCGTTTTCTGAGAGTGTTGTTCCTAGATATTTGAACTTTTTCACCCGCTCAAAGTTATAGTCACCCATTGTGATGTTTTGTCCTACTCTATCTCTCCTTTGGTTGTTTCTAGTTGTGTACATATATTTAGTTTTCCCTTCGTTGATCTTCAATCCCATATTTAGTGCCTGTTTCTCGAAGTTGGTGAAGGTCTCCTTGACGTTAAGTCTACTACTACCAATCACATCTACATCGTCTGCAAATGCTAGCAGTAGCTTTGGGCCATTATTGCGAAACATTGTCATTGGAGCCTTTATCTCCGCTTTTCTAACCACGTATTCTAAGGAGATGTTGAATAGCAAAGGTGAAATGGCATCGCCCTGCTTGAGGCCGTTGTTGACTTCAAAAATATCTGAGAGTTCTTGCCCGATCCTGACCTTGTTCTTCGCTCCATTGATACAAATTTGTGTTAGGCGTATCAGTTTTTTGGGGAAACCGAGTTCCTCCATAGCTTCCCAAAGTTTTACCCTGCAAACGTTATCGTAAGTTTGTTTGAAGTCCACAAACAGTTGATGTAATTCTTTATTAAATTCCCAGCACTTCTCCATTATTTGCTTAATGGTGAACACCTGATCTATAGTTGACCGGTCTTTTCTGAATCCACACTGATATTCGCCCACTATTTCGTTGGCGTATGGCTTAAGTCTGTCGAGGAGTATGTTGGCTAAGATTTTATATGCGGTGTTCAGCAAAGCTATTCCGCGGTAGTTACCACATATCATTTTGTCCCCTTTTTTGTGTATCGGTACAATTACCCCTTCTTGCCATTCGTTTGGTATTACTTCTGTTCGCCATATTATCTCGATGAGTTTGTGCATAGCCGAGTGCAGTGTTTCTCCCCCCTGCTTCCAACATTCGCTTGGGATCATGTCGCTTCCTGGCGCCTTATTGTTTTTGAGTCTGTAAATCGCTTGTTTGACTTCATCATAGTTAGGAGTATTGTCTGTGACTTCGGCTGTCTGGAATATTTTAGTTTCTGTGTTTTCTATGCTTTCGGTGTTGAGCAGTTCATGGAAATATTCTCTACATGTGTTTAGGATTTCTGCTTTATTAGTTATGAGTTGGCCATCTTGATGCTTTAGAGAGTTTGTGGTTCTTGGTTGGTAGCCTTTTTTAAAATCTAATATTCCTTTGAAGTAGGTCCTAGCGTTGTTGTTGCGTCTGTTTTCCTCAATTTCCTTCACCTTTTGTATTTGGAGTTCTTTTTTCTTCTTCTTCATAAGCCTTCTTGCTATTGATCTCGTTCGCTTATATTCGTTTATGGTTTCTTCTGTGGTATTTTGCAGCATTATTTGTCTGGACAGATAATAATAGTCTGTTTTCTGTTAAATCCTAATTTGAAACGCGTGTGTGAACTGTAGATAGTTAGACGCATGCACACTGCAAATTAACAGGCTGAGCAGAAGAGTTATTTATCTGTTCGCGTTTTCTGTCATATGATAATTACATTAATTTTATTTATATGTGCATGGGAAATATCGAGTATTTCGAAGAATCGAATACTAAGGATTCGAGTATTTTATTATTGAATACCTAGTACTGCGTACTTCACAGTTTATTTTCAAGGTTTGAAGATAGTAAGATGGTTAAGTATGAGATGATTAAACTGAGATTTACTTTTTCATTTGCCTTAACAAAATAATTATGTTTGATCAATAATCATTTTATTACACAAATACGTTGGGACACCTAACCAAAACATTTTACAAGACTCATAGATTTTTTTGAAATTCATCAAAAAACTCTGAATGTGGAAATTGTCGTAAATATGGTATCCACTTTTCAATGGAACTCTATGGGTAAAATCTGTTTATAGATATAAGAAAGTGGTGGAACAGGTCCGTACTTTGCTTAGAATTTAATTATTTGGGGTTTTGTTAGGAAAGATACTTAACAATATTTATTTACTTATGTACGTATTTTTGTTTAAATCTAAAATAAAATTACAAATTATTTTTATTACCTACTTAAATTACTTAAAATTATTCACATAATATATCAGTATCACTATCGCTATCACCGCCTGTTCTAATTATTATTTGTTCTATATTATTTGCAATATGGATATACGATTGTTCTGCTTTTTCTATATGTTTAACAGAATTTGCCCAACTTTGTGGAGGGATCTTAAAAACTTCGGTTTCTATAAGTTTGAGGACATTGGAGTTAACACTGGGAAAAACATTGTTACGACGAATGGCAGATTTCAGTTGGTGCCAAACATGTTCAATGGGATTAAATATACAGTGGTAAGGTGGAAGCCTTAAAACTGTATGCCCTAGATTTTTTGCATAATTATCACAGACGTATTCCTTTTGTAGGATCAAGTTTTGTAGAACCTCAATTAATTGCTTTTTGGTATAATCTTCGTGAAAATAAATGTCGTTATTGTACATGTGGTTTTGGATTTTTGCTTTTGTGTCACATGAGGAAGGGGTTTTAGTGAACTGCCTAGTGTGATAACTTGCATTGTCTATTACAATGACGCTATTAGGAAGAATGTTTGGAATTAGTTTGTTTTTAACCCAACTTTCAAATAAATCAGCGGTGGTGTCTTCATGGTAATCTAGAGAAGAATCTTTAATATTTTTCGCAGACCGAGAAAGTCCATTTGGAATCCAACCATCTTTAGAGCCAGCATACAAAATAGTTATTCTTTTACCCCTTTTTGATGGCGCGTTTGTTTTACACTTATCAGTTGAGCCAACCCAACCCTTTTTATCCATGCAAATAATTGGCCTTTGTTGTTCTCTGTAAATATTAATTTTTTTTCTAGATATTCCAGTCGCCATTTCCGAATTCTAAAAGATTCCATTAAAACTTGCCTTTTGTCAATTTTTTTAAATCTAAAACCCATGTGTTGAATACACTTCCATAAAGTAGTTCTGCCACATTTAACACCGGTGTCATCTTTTTCAAGCCTCCTAATTAAGATATCTTATGTATCACAATTTTCCATACAGTGGCCGTTTCTTCTAAAGATGCTTGCTTGCTGGAACCGCGTTCAATCAAAGTCAAATAGACATTGTTTATAACTTCCTTCGTCTCAATAGAATAGTGTTTTCTACATTTGGGCGGGAGCATCTCCTCAGATACACTAGACTCGCACATATTTTGCATAATTCGCACACGATTCAACACACGCTGTATTACACACCAAATAAGAATGATTACTAATAAACTTAAACTAAGTAGTATACCAAACCAAAGAATATTAAACACAGGTAGGTATAAAATTATTTTCTATTACGGACCACAATTTTACCCGAATTTAAATTCCGAAACTTTAGGTAATAATCTTTTTGCATTTTATGTTAATGACCACCCTTGGATAATCCCAATCAAAAGCAATTGGTTGGTCACTTTCTTATATCTACGAACAGACCATGCCTTAAAGCTACCACAATTAATTTATTGGGGGTGGACTAACCGATGTTTCAGAAAACTCAAATTCTTCTTTGGTTTTTAGTATTTCCTTACTACCACATTTATTAACAATTTTACACAAAAAAGAGTAATGTAAACGTTGTATGGTTGTACGGAGAGTGTCATGTTATGCTACGACTGTCAACAATGAAATTTTAAACAGAACAACACGCTGTTATTTTTATGCATTTTTAAAATTATTTATATAAAACTAAGCTAATTTTATAATTAGTACTTCACGTCTATTACTCTTTTTCGAAAAACCACTAAAAATCGAATTTTTCTCAATTTTGATTAGTTTTCGAATTTCAGCTTTTTATGGACTACTAAAATACATAGAAAGGCTACTGCCTATTCGAGAATACTAATAATAAAATTAGCTTCGTTTTTTATAAAGGTACTAGAAATTTCAATATTCAATATTCAATTTCGGACATCCTGTGCACTACAACTTTTGTAAACCTTTTTTGTTCGTAAAGTCTCAAATAAATGAGCAAGGAATAAAATTTTTCGTTTTGCAATTTAAAATTTTATAACTAAAATATTACTTAGTCCTCCTCTTCTAATTTAATCCAAATAAACAACTCTTATTCCATTTAACGAACCATGTCTCTTTAATGGTTTAAAAGTTACTCATACAGTCCCATTGAAAAACTGGACACCCAATTTATTTCCAGGATTTATTAACCGATTGAAGTTGTTAATTAGTTTTTCAAATTTTGTTTGGGTTGTTCCTGTGACTTTCTGCTTATTATTTATTTGTTATTTAAGATTTGGTATGATCTAAATTTCACTTTACATATACATACACAGACGCAATTCATCTGCATCCAAAAGTTGCTAACAAAAGTCTAAAACTAAAGATTTGATATTATTAAGAGGCCGACAAGTTTTTAGTGATTTAGTTGATCTTAAATACCAAAAATAATAATATAGGACTTTTATTATTGTTTATCTCAGCCTGAAAAGGACGTAAACTTGGCTACGACTTAACCTTTGCTATAACCAACTAATCAAACTTTGACAATACCTCCCGATAGCTATACTCTTTATCACGTCTAAAACTCAAATATTTTTCCTTCTATCATGCACAAGCGCTCTACAAGCGTTTCAATGATTTTAAAGTTTATTAGAGAATAAAAATTGATACTTTATATTTTTTATGTATTTGGTAAAGTACACGTATTTTATTATGATTATTTTCATTACATAGATAGGAGTGACTAGGACTATAATTAAAATAACGAAGTTTCCTCAATAACTTCATTGGACATTTCTGATCATGCCGACTTAGAATTATTATTAATTGAGTCAAATTAGAAAAACCACAGTTGTCTATTTTGTTACTTGGACGCCTTTTTCAAAGTCAAATTTCAAATTAATTTAAAACAGGAATAAATATCCAGAAACCACGACACACAAGCGACGCCGTCATTCCCAAACATGCTAATTTATCGAACTTGTCAACTAGTCTACATAAATCGATTCCCAACAAGCAATCTGACGTACGTGGGAATCGTTAGTAACATATTCCAAACAAATTTGTCGTTGGAACGAACCTTTTAGTAAAGAACCAACACAAGAGGTGTTTTTATTTTTATTTGTTTTATACCAACTTTTTCAAACACCCGGTATAACGCGCTAAGTTGACTGCGAAATGGTCACTATTTTCAGTACGTTCCCCTCATGGCCGAGTCGATTATACTGTTCCTCGGGGATGAACTCTGGACCCGGCAGCTCAACAGAACGCAAAAGTATTGGGTACATGGGATATTGATATCTCTTGCTACCTTTTTCATTATCGTAGGGAACGCCTTAGTTTTCCACAAGCTCCAGTCCGGGTATCACTTGTATACGGCCCATGGAATCACTGGTAAGTCGGGCGAATTTGATATCGATGATAAATGATGTAAAAGTCCAACAAGTTCATTGACTCCACTGACACTCCCTTGTGTTTTTCAGGTTTGATTTCCATGATACTGATAATTGCTGCCATACCTGTCGGCTTGGCGATCAATTACGCTAACGAAATTAAACGCGTTCTAACGGTACGGCCGTTGTGGTACAAGGCGATCCACAATTTTTTGGGTTTGCTCGGTTACGTCATAGGAATAATTAGTCTGGCGTTTGCGTTCTACACCAAATGGTTCGTCTACTACACGGGACCTGAGGCACGAATGCTGTCGCTCGTCGCTACGATCTTAGGGTCGATTTGGATGGTGAACGGCGCGCTAGTATCCATGTACCATCAAATTAAGTCATTAGTTACGTAACGAGATTTTCCTAAATTGTAATTGACTATTTACGACCTACGATTTCATTCAGAGTCATGAAGTTGTTTGGACAATTCAAATTTTCCAGATTTTAGCCACAAAAAAGACTGGTAACATGGGAAAACCGTTAAGGTTATTTAATAAAAGTCGAAAAAGACGATAGTGGACTTGTTTTTGGGTGTTTCAAAAAGCATGTGCCATCGCTGAATGGGAGATTCTCACGTAAAAACAAGACTCTCTTTTTTAATATCAACATGAGTCCGATTCTCCTTCGTTTCGCAGGTTATTTAAAAATTTATATTTTTTGATTTACTAAAAATGTACCCAAAGGACTAGAAAAACCAATAAAGTGTGGAGCATAAAAATTATTTAAAGCAGTATACAATTTAAATGCCTTTTTCTCTTTAATAGCGAAATTAAGAAGGCTGTTTAGTGCCTATTAAAAGCTACCATTTGATCGCTTGTGGATTGCGATAAATGCAATTCTGCCCAAAATCTGATATGCCACACACTAGTCTGAAAATTGACACTGTCAATAACTTGTCAATTTTAAGTAAGTATTTAGTAATTTGTTGCGTTCATAGTTGAATGCCATTTTACCATTACAACTTGGCTGAATTAACTTACATGTTAATATTTTATGGCAAGCCAGGAAGAATGGAAGAGAAGCAGTTCGAATTTATGAAGACAGGTTTGCCGAACGAAGAGCAACAATATTTTTGAAAATTTGAAAATATATTGTTGTAAATCAAATTATATGGTTCTAAAACGATGAGCACAGGCACATTTTCGTATTCATGTTAGGGAGTACCTTTCAGAAACATACGGTCATTGATGGATTGGTCGCGGTGTTCCAGTAGCATGGCCACCAAGATCCCCTGATTTGAACCTTTTAGATTTTTATTTACGTGAAGAAGTGTTAGAATTTATAGAAGTAGCATTTGTAATAGTTCGACAAAATCTTCGTATTTGTGCCCGGATAAGAGGATCTTTGTGCCGACGATGAAGCTACAGGTATCCATTTTCACCACTTACTGTAAATTTATTGAGAGACGTTTAATTATATTAAGTTTAAATTAAAGGCTTTAAAAATCTTTAAAATATAGCGATATTCAATGTAGTACATAACATAAATGCATTTATATCATTAAAGAAATCTAAATCAAGAGGTACCTAGGCTTTAAGCGGTCTTAATTTTGCTATATAAGTAAAAAAAGTCAATGGCACTCAGTTGGCAGCCTGTACGCACGGCAGTGATCAAATTGCCCAAACTGTTTTTGTAGTAAAATTTGTACTAATTTAGATGGTTAACCCTACTTTAATGAAATTGTTATGAAATAAATAAAAAAAAAATTCTTTAACACCCTGCAGCTTTGAAACGAAACTGAATCGGATCCATGCTGATATAAAAATAGTATAGCGAGCGGAGCGAGTGTTTAATAAACGAGTGACTTAAAAAGTTTACCGAACGTGTTGCATACTATACTTTTTCTACGACCGTTAGTTTGTGGGTACATTTTCGCAAATCAACACTAATATATTCACTGACATGACCGTCAGAATTGAAAAACGCCAGATTCAACGCGTGGGAAATATATCCAAAAACATGTGGAAATTTTGAGCCCCCTGTTTTATTACGTTCCTTGTATCATTTACTTATCTACAACTATTTAAAATAAATAATAAAAGTATTTTTTGTCATGTTTTACTCTATTTTTAAATGAATCAATGATAAATAACCAACATAAATGTTCACATAAACCATGTACCTCCTACTACCTCTTTTATGGGTCAAACTCGAATTCGAGTTACAACTTACAACATTTAGAAGTAAATGATAATGAAATAAATAAAAAATGAACGCACAAGTGAAGTAACTCAAAAGTGATCAATCATTTAAAAAGCAGCGCCACGCGACAATGTCTTACGATTAATTAAAATAACAAAATTCAGCTTAAAACTTACCCAAAGTTCTCATCGCCGGCACGTTCGCAACGTTCACATTTTCACTGGGGATGTCAATTTCAAAGAAGCGCAGCTGCCTACGCATCGCGTTATATCATCAGCTTACGAATAAACAAAGGTAGGCCGTGGTCGCGTTGACGTAATCTGTCCAGATTGACAGTTCTTTTTAAACCAGACGGTCGTTTGATAGTTTTCTGTGCCGTCCAGTAAAAATTTTGGGAATGGTTTTATACCCGATATGTGATGTGATGTGATAATTTTGGTATCGTTTCGCTTTTAGTGAAGGCAATAAGTGAACTACCGTGATGATGTAAAAGCTGGTAAGTTTTCTACTGTCTTTCAACCAATGTGATGACATCACGAAAGCATCTGTTAACATTTATTTATTTATTTATTCTGTGGTCTGTGGGATATTATACAAAATTACATGCGCAATACTAGAAAAATATAGCTAACCTTAATTAACGTTAAAATATTGAACTAGAAATATTGATTGTATTTTTTTTTATAATAATAAATAATCATATAAATGTATAATTTATTAAAATTTGTCTAACTTGTACAATTGACATTGACAATAAGACTAGAACACTCGTTGGTACTTCTTGCAATTCGATATAGCAGTGATTTTTTTACAAAATTTGTTTTTTTGAAAGGAATATTAAAAATTTTACTGGATCGAAGATTCACTTGAGCTTTATTTAGACGAACCAACGAGAACACTTCAGAATTATTCATGTTACAATTAATCAATTTATACAAAAACGAGATAGCAGAGATCTTTCTTCTCTGCAATAAAGTTGATAGATGAAAGAAATTTTTATAATTTGGCTTTAATATTACTAAGATAATAATCGCACTTATTTAAATTGAAAAGAATAATCGTTTTCATTATTATTTTCTTTGTAACGCTCCCTCTACGGATAACTGAACGTCTATAAGCGACCTGTGAAAGAATTTTTGAAAAATCTTTAAAAATACGAGAAGCCGGTATACGGAACAATTACAAAATAAACGAATAATTAATTTGATGTAACATAATAACCAACACTTTAGAGGCGCTGTTTAGAATCATATCTACATGTAAGTCGACCATAAGTTTTGAATTGATCAGGAAGCCCAAATTATGAAACCTTCTAATGAGACGTGACATTAATTTTATTGCGTTTATTACGTTATGGATGAACATTTACCCAAAACAAACAAAATTTCGCCAACCTGTCTGAATCTTTAAAATATCATTTATACGAGGTGTGTTCAAAAAGTGAGATGATTTTTGTAATTTGGCGGGCTACGTGCATTCAATTTTCGATATTTTTTGTTGTTGTGTTGGTACACATGTCCCTTGCATTAATTCACAGTTTCAGCCAGTTTGTACGTTTACTTTGATTTGTGAGACACAAGTGTTAGACGTGTCTTGTGTGTTCGGCGATTTTCTAATGTCAAATAAAAATGGAACTAAGAATTTGCAAAAAAAATTGAGTATAAAATGGAATATAGTGTTGCAAAACACTTGAAATGTTGACAACGCCATATAGTCAATTTACTCTAAGCAGAAAAAATGTTTATAAGTGGTACATACAGAACGTCAAACAAATGGTGTTGAAAAAAGTTCGTACGAAAAAAAAAAGGGAATTACTTTGAAGTTATGCGCCGTTTGCGAAAAGCAATACGAATTAGGGGATAACAATTCATGGATTTTGCATCACGATAATGCACCTGCTCACTCATGGTTGCTTGTGGCCAAAAACAAAACCGTAATTATAGCTCAACGAACATGTTTCACGGATATGCCCCCTCCGTGCGACTTTTTCCTTTTCCCAGAACTGAAAAAACCCGTGAAAGAAAGGAGGTTTGGAATGCTTCGAGGATTGGAAAAAATGTTGACACAAGTGGGGGATAACTTTGGAGGGACATCATCAATTTTGATAAATAATTAAATACTTTCTGATAAAACTCAAGTCGCCTTACTTTTTGAACACACCTCGTATCTTAACGCTTTTTAAATATTTAGGTACTTAGTTAATTAATTCAATTTTAATGACCCATGCTCACTGGCCAAGTTTTTCGTCTTCATTCAACTTTGTAACGGGTTGAAAAATTCAAACATTCAATGCGAAACATAACGCACAAAACATACTAACTTTTTTAGTTTAGTTGAATTCCATGTTCATTGTTCAGTTTCATATTTATTCACTAAAGAAACATTTAATTTTTTACTCTAAATTGTAAGTTGGTGTTAATGCTAACACACGATTGCGTGAAACATTACAGGATCCAAAATGTGCATAAGCTCAAATTTCTGGGTGCAGAAATGCTAAATAGGTCTTACCTTAATCCAAATATGCATAAATTTGGAGATGTGATGTGTCAAAAGTACAAAATGTTGTTTATTCGTAAATAATTTTTGCAACAATATGCATTTTCAATATAAACCATATACTCCCTTTTTCATTGCCGTTCGCAGGAAAATAGATTAGGTTTTTCAAAAAAAATATTACCCCAAGTTGTCACGTTCACATTTTATTTCGATTTTTTTTTATATATAAATACATACCGTACATTCTAATAATATAATACTCATTTTCCGTGTTTTTCGTAATATAAATTTACCATAAATATCTAGAACAATAATATAAACAGATTCACGCGTAAGTAACTACCTTTCCGAAACTTTAATTAAATAATTCTAAATTTTGGCAGTGCTTATGGTTAAAGCGGGGTTAGAGCTTAAAAAAAACTACCGTTCGCTTCTCATAGGCCTATCGAGGGAACAATCACAGACATTCATAAAAATTAATCAGCAATAATTTTCGTTACATTTTAAAGAACGTTTTTGATGTGCGGCGATATCGCGTCGAGTATTGGTCATTTTTGTGACGAGAGATTTCGGAAATACTTTTCCAGATTTGAAAATCGGCGGAAGACCCTACTTCACTACTCCTTACATTAGATTAGTTAAGTCGCCACTGCTAAGTGCTATATCTTGACGGTTATGATGGTCGTCATAATTATTACAAATAAATTAAGGTTTAATTAATAAGTGCTTGCAGCTTATTAGGGAGGGTGTTGAAAAATAATCGGAGAGAGTTGTTCGATGCTCTATTATAAATGCATGCGTAGGAATTTTACAAACAATTCGGAATTATGGACTATCCTGTTTCGAAAGAAATATTTGCAGGCTATGTTTGAACACCTGTTTGCCTAATAAACCAAACAAAACCAGTTTGCGATGTATAGTCGCCCCCGAGTTATAAGTGAGTAATAAAATATCGAAAATATGACTCCAATGCTAATATAGCTCGTGTAAAAGATATGCAGATTAATGTAAATACGAGGGTTGCCTTTTAAGTTTTTACAATCGAACAATAGGTGGCGTTAATGGGTTGTGACGCCACCGTATTTGTGAAGATTGATGTTTGTTATTGCGAGGCCAATGGCAGTTTAGAAATTGACTGAGTAAAGAAGAAGCAAGGTTGTGCAAAAATGGTTACGTTGAATTTTTTTTTTATATGATCAAAGAACCAAAAACCGGATTTATCGCCTAATGACTGTTTCTTGTTCTCAATGCCAAACCAAAGAAGCGCGGATAGTCATTTCCATCAACTTCAGAAACTGTTGAGGCTTTTCAAGACCATGTTTTTGTGATATTAGCTTCAGAGTGGAAAAAGTGTTTACAGAATAGATAGAATAGGAAAATCAATGAAATACTTTGTTTCGAACCTGTTCATTTCAGTTTCACTTTTTGTAAAATCTTAAAAGGCAACCCTCGTATATTACCACCAATACGCAGTGGACATTAATTATTAAGGGTTCAGTTGACTTCAACGGGCAATTATACTATTACTCTTTTATAACTCTGGGGAGACCGGACGCGCCTAATATTTTACTTCTTTGACCAAATTGGTAACGGAACATCCAAGATTCGCATCCCCGCGCGGGATAAGAAACCACGTACGTTTTAAATAAAATGCTTCAGCGTTAATCGATCACTAAACTATCAGTCGTTCTCGTCATTGCGTCACTACCGGCTTAAACCGGTCCTTGGGATCCGAACAGTCACCTCGGGAAGATCATTCGAAAAAATCCTGCTGCGACTTCTTGCAGGAATCGCAACAGTTTTTGGTATAGTAGGGGTAGTGGCACAGCCTAGCCTGTACGGCGAGACGACATTTGGGGATTCTGTCCACGCACGACTCTGAAAGGTCCTTTGCTCAAGTTTAAACCACACAAAAACGATGTTATCCAAACACTTTAATATAGAATCGTTTTCTGATGGTCCATATTTTTTTGACAATTTTACTATATTGTTACAATCATATTCGTAAAGATGGTAAGTTCGGCAACCATATAAATCCAGCTCGAACCGGATATAAATCATTGTTAATAAAAGTGAATTAAATGAAATTTAATTATTGTAATATAAGAACTAGCAAATTAGCTATCAGCATTATTCGAAAATTTACAGGGCCTGTCATATTACCATATATTTGTCATAATAAAATAGCCGGTCAGTAAAAAGTACCGGGGCCCTTAATTATCGCCAAAACTGCCCAAGCTGGAATGATAAAAATCAATACATGCTGCATTCATAAAAAACTAACAGCAATTCTGGTAACCTTTCACTGGTACACTTCTAAAGTTTCCTATGTTATATCCAGAACTCTGAGATGTTAGCATTTTTGAATTCTACGTGTTCAAAAAGACCGTAGAGTGTTAAATTTTATCGTTCTAGCTTTGGCAGTTACGGAGATATTTAAGAGTTCAGTTATTCATAGAAACAAAAAAATATAAAGAAAAAAGTGTACGACAGTATTTGAAAAAATATAATAATAACATTTCAAGATATTATAGTTTTCACTTGCACCCTATATAATTTTTTATAATAATAAATAATTTCGTTTATATGTCTTGGATCCATGTTTCTAAATATATTTTATGGCTAGTTTCCTTCACTCAGATTTGGCAATTTCTAATCACCTAAAACTTCCACTTACGATCTATCGGCTGGTCCTGAACCGGTTTGTAGCTGTCTCGCGTCTGATCCTTCTGAGGCTCGTCGCATGCGCACGCCCTCTTCGTCACCGGCATCCTATCCTCCACGCAATCACTCGAATCTCTTTTCTCCCCGTCCAAGCATCTCACTCGCCGTCTCTGCACTCCCGAAGGGCATTGACCTTCACATCCTCCCCACTCGCCTACGAACCACTGCGCCGGACACGCCCCTAAACGTAAAATCGAGTGTTAGGGGGCTTTGGGGTACCCCCGGGCGATTACCTCTGCAAGGTTGCTCCTCTGGAGGTTTGAGGGCCATCGGGCACGTCATTTCGTTGGTTATATGAGCCACCCCCCTGATTTTCGCAACGCACAACACTTCCCTCGTCTGTTTGGCTGGGCCGCTGCACGTGTCCCCACATTCCCCCCACGGACCGGCGAACCACTTCGCGTCGCAGTGCTTCTCGCTCGAACAAGCTCGGGCGGTCTCGGGTTTGGAGTCCGAATCGCAGGAACCGCTGTCGCATAGAGCTTGTCGAGACTGGGTACCTGTTCCTATTGGCAATAGAAAGAAGCTTTAATAGGATTAAATTTGCAGCATGATCTGCTATCTACAGTTAGTCCTCACTCTTTCTATAAAATCGTGTGGTCTTCCATAGTACTCCTTAGCCGTATGGCATTAAATATTATTATATCTATTATACGCATGCTCGTCACCAAACTTATTCAAGTTATTTCGGGTCCGGTAAAGCGGATTTTACATACGACTTTGTCAAATACATACCGCTTAGAAAAATAATCATTATGTTAATATTAAAAATTGCTATTATATTACCTTAGCATTATGAGATAAAATCAGTTGAAGAAGAATTCGCAATCCTTGCCCTTAAAACAGCTAATTTTAGATACCAACACCAAGCTAAACGAGGAACTAATAGCCCTGTTGGAAGCTTCTGAGAAATATTTCTTGGAATGACAATAGTCATTTCTAATATTTTTATTATAATTAATGGAACAAGAAATTAAATTTTGCCCGACTAGTGATTTTCCCTTTTCAATGTAACCTGTAACCTATAAAATTTAATAAATTTTATGTGTGAAACAAATAAATTTAACAACATACCATTTATATTGTTTTGGCGTCATTTCAATCAAATAAAATGTGTTTTTACAAAAATTGAACTGAGGTGGCTTTCACTTGATGAAAATCCATTTATCAAAATAAATAAGAACTAAAAGTTCAGATTTTCACGAAATTATATATTATGACATGACAATTGTTTCGACAACAGCGTGTCTTTATCAAATGTAATATTTACAAACTACCTGTACTATATATACCGAAAAACGACCATAAAACATTAATTAAGGTAGTTAAGGTATTTAAATGTAATGGACCGTTTTTAATAAATTTAATTTTCTGCTTTTTGTGGCCGTATGTAAAATATCAAAATTATCGTCAAAAATGTGTTTTTTCTGTGTTGCATAATTAGAATCTAAACTATTGTTTTTAAACGCTCTTTTATGTTCGTTAATGCGTTTCTTGAAGGATCTACCTGTTTTTCCAATATAAATTTTAGGATAAGATCCGCATTTCAACCTGTAGTTTTTTAAATATTTTCCTATTGTGTTGTTATTTCTGAAAGCTATTTTTAAACCACATTTTGACAAATGTTTTGAAACTTTTTCACTAGGTTCTCCTATGTATGTAATTGTTTTAAATTGTTCGCATTCTGTATTAGGTTTCGGATAAACAGAGTTTACTGTTGTCTGGGTGTTTTTTATTTATAATGTTATCTATAACGGACGGATTGTAGCCGTTGTTCAATACAATTTGTTTAATGATATTAAGTTCTTTGTTGTAATTTTCTGTTGAGAGTGGCGCATTAAAAAGTCTGTGTATAAAAGAGTGAAATGTAGCCATTTTGTGTGCATTAGGGTGATTTGAGCTGTTATGTATGACTGTGTCCGTGTATGAAGGTTATTGATAAATGGAAAAATCTAATTTGTTTTGCGATTTCGTAATAGTTAAGTCTAAAAATTTGTTTACGATTATGTAATGACTTAATGTAAGAAAAGTCAAAAAATAAGTAAAAGTTTTCTATGGTGGTATAGATACGTGGATGATGTCTTTGCTTGCTTTGTTCGAACGTACAGACAATTGAATTCTTTTTTAAATTACATTCACATAAATTACATGATTACATAATCGTATAAAATTCACTATCGAAATTGAACAGGATAACTCTATTAATTTTTTAGACTTAATTATTATGAAGACGCAAAACAAATTAAATTTTTCCATTTACCATAAACCTTCACACACGGACACAGTCATACATATCAAAATGGCTGCATTTCACTCTTTTATAGACAGACTTCTTAATACGCCATTCTCAACATACAATTACAACAAAGGACTTAATATCATTAAACAAATTGTATCGAACAATGGCTACAATCCGTCCATTATAGATAAAATTATAAAGAAAAAAACAATTACATAAATAGGAGAACCTAGTGAAAAAGTTTCAAAACATATGTCAAAATGTGGTTTAAAAATAGTTTTCAGAACTAACAGCACAATAGGAAAATTTTTAAAAAACAATAAAACGAAATGTCCAAAATTTCAAAAATCTTGTCCTAAAATTTATATCGGTAGATTCTTCAAGAAGCGCATTAACGAACATAAAAGAGCGTTGAAAAACAATAGTCTAGATTCTAATTATGCAACACAGAAAAATACATTTTTGACGACAATTTTGATATTTTACATACAGCCACAAAAAGTAGAAAATTAAATTTATTGGAAGTCATGGAGATTAACAAAATGACACATTCAAATGTATTGCTTAACGATCATTTAGATTTAAATACCTCTTCTTTATTGAACTTAAATTCTCACAACAACAACTTTTTTAGAGCTATGACTAATGCAAAAATTGTAACAAAAACAGAGCAAAGTACTTAACTGAATGATACTTTAGATCTATAAAGACTCTGTTATTGTTTTATTTCGTTTCTTTCAAGCAAACAGACTTAATTATTTTAAAAAATCCGATAGCAATATTTAGTTTAGTCCATATTAAATAATTAACTTTTTTTTGTTAAATTGTTACTTTTGAGACATCCTGTTTTTTTTTATTCACTAAAATATAATTATTTCAAAATGTTTCTAGATTTTGAGTAGTGCGATTAAACTGTTTCCATGATTTAATTCAAAACTATTTGTAAATATAAAGTTTTTTGTGAACACCCTGTATAATAATTAAAATGTATTAAAGTTTGATGTTCGTAATATTTTTTTCTTTTTATTGTTGTGTTTTTATTAATATTAAGTAAAATTTATTGGCTAGCCCACTCTGGCGCGGGGGGGGGTCTTAAGAAACATGACTCGTTTAGTCAATGCTCGGCTGACACTCTATAGAAAGAAAGAATTTTGCAATGAAATCAATGAAAAACAATGAGTAATTCATATTTAAATAAAACCGAGTCTAAGTTGACACCTCCCGTGACAATTTTTTCCCGTTAATACTTTCCAAGATTAATTCTTTGTGAGAGACCAATATTATTTATTAATGTAACAATAATTTGTGTGTTGCTTACCACATTGTTCCGAACAGAGCGACCATTCCGTCACTAACCAGGCCGACAACGAGTCGGTGCGATTGTGACCGCTACGGTGACGTCCCGTAGCCGTGGGCGGGGTAGTTTTAGGAGTTCTGTTGCTTTCGTCACACGACCCCATGTTACAATATTCCGCGTGCATAGGTCTGTCTTCGGGATGGCACAGGCCGGAAGGGCAAATCACCGATCTGGTTCTGTGACCGGTACCGCATGTCACGGAACACTATCACATAAAACTCAAAATGGGGAATCCCATTCGATAGCCTTGAATTCAAATAATCTTGTATTGAAAGGAAACCCCACGAGTCGTTTATGAAATGACAAATAAAGGTTAACTCCATTATAGACTTTTAAACATATTTTTGTACAAATCGTACTTTTGTTGCTGTCTTCATATTGTATTTTTAATAGTTTCTCGCGTTTTAACTGCATTTATTAATTTGCTTTTTTTAATAAGCTACTTTTAATTTACAGATTTCTGTAATTAATTTTAGATTATTTAGTAAGTTTGTTTTAACATTATTCCATATATTTTGTTGCCAATAAATCAGATGGTTTTGCATTAAGCCATTTATAGTATTCTTTATCGAAAAAAGTCGAAATTGAAGGTAGAAATGCCGGTAATATAGTATTCACTATATTTCTTCTCTTCTACCAAGTTCGTTTTAAAGTAAGTTATTAAGTCTGAGTATTTTATTATTCAGGCATAATAAATGGGTTTTTGTATTGGTTAGTAGTTAGTTTTAAAATCGGCCATATTCAAAAGAACGCCCAGTAAAAGGTGTCAACGAGGCTTATTTCAATGTTGTTCGATTTATTTAAACATATATTCAACTAGTATAATCTGTTTATACCTATTTCTTTAACAATGATGGCCTATCATAGGTGGTTAGTTTTAAAATCGGGCATATTCAAAAGAACACCCAGTAAAAGGTGTCAACGAGGCTTATTTCAATGTTGTACGACTTATTTAAAAAGACATTTAACTAGTCTATTCTGTTTATACCTATTTCTTTAAAAGTGATGGCCTATCATACGTCGTTAGTTTTAAAATCGGCCATATTCAAAAGAACACCCAGTATTTAAACAGATATTCAACTAGTCTAATCTGTTTATACTTATTTCTTTAAAAATGATGGCCTATCCATAGGTGGTTAGTTTTAAGATCGGGCATACTAAAAAGAACACCCAGTAAAAATTATCAATGAGGCTAATTGACTGGCATGGTCATTACATAGCACCTAAGGAAACACTTTTTCGGGGTTGCTTGGATAAAAAATTATTTATCTTAAGGTCGGATCGATTTGAATTAAATTTTAATTTAGTTGAGAGATGAGAGCGTTGGTTGAAATCCCGCTTCTTACCCATCAGATTTTGTAATTGCGTAAATCCAAATAAAAATTACTATTGAATAATGTCAAAACACTCAAAATTCAAATGTGCTGGTTGGTTGCCTAACTCCAACAACTAGTCGGGCCTGCTTTGAATAGAAAGTCAGTGGTATTGATTGATTACCGGCGACCAAGATCCCACAGTCCACTCCGGCTTTGCGCTTTTGACGTCGGGCAATTCGTTGTTGGTGATGGTCCTGTAAAAGTCACACTCCCGCTCCTGGCACCTCCTCGTCTGACCGATAGGCTTCGGTGTTTGACACAGGACGTCATTTACCACAATCGATTTTTCTATGTAAACGAATACAGTCAAAGAAGTTTTGCTCAAGGTTTTTCTCGGTCCTCAACGTACCGTTAACGCTCTGCAGACATTGTGGTACAAATTGTTGCACCCCCTCACCGCACGTGACGCTGCATGTACCCCAGAAACCTCCCCATGCGGCGGGACACGGATCCACGTTACATTGGATTGGAGCCAGGGAGGGGGGATCGAGATGAGCGCATCTCCTCTCGTGTACGGGGATCTGGTGCTGAGAGTTTATCTGTCGATAGCATGCTCTCGTATAGGACTGAGTTCCTGTAAATATCAATATTAGTTCCTTAGAAAAGACACGAAAGAGAATCTGCTATATTCTTTACGATTCAATCTTGGGAGATCGCTCCTTCAACAGAGTATTGGTCCAAGGAGGAACAACATTTTTATACATGTTTGATACTCCAATCACGTGAATGAATATGGCTGATTCTCAACGACTTGTGAAAGGTGAACTGAACTGAAATTCACAATAATCATGTCTTGGAGTATAAGTCGTTGATGCATCATTTGACCAAAAATTAAAGGATCCAGTAAACCCGAATAGACGGATTGTTGTATTGTGAAGTATTGAGAAGTAGTCGTAAAAACCATAAGGCAATGGACCAAATTCATGGAATGTAATGAATGATTGTTTAATCCTGTTTACCTCCTCCGCAGGACTTGGTGCAAGGTGTCAGTCCCGTGATCTTCCAATGGAAATACTTCCTTCTCAACCGCGTCCTCCTGGTTACGATCGGTGCCCTGGGTTCGTCCCTGGGGTTATTGAAAGTCGAATTGTTTATCCAAATCGGATCCGGTTTTCGGGAATCCAGCGCCTGCGGATCCGGACGTTTTATCAGCGGCGGTGCTATCATCGGTACGTTGTTATCCACCGGTATCGAGTAGGCGTATTTAATCCCAGGATTCGCTTGGTTGTTAACGACCATAATGTCGATGGCGTGGTTCAAAGGTCCCGAAGCCTTGATTGTCTCCAAAGAGCCATCGTCTTGGTGGATGTAGGAGAATCTCGTGCCCGCCGCGTGGAAATGCCTACTACTGCCCAGTTTCCTATCACCGTTCAATAGGTACGATCCATTGGCGTACTTCAGGGCTGCAACATAGAACAAGTTTTCGTAATTCGTATTTTGCGATTTTTCTGAGTTATACCGAGATAGTTCATGGTGTGCTTCAGCTGCTGAACGAGGACTCCGCAGGCACCTTCCGGAAGTTGGGCTACCATCGTGTAATCGGACGGCAAGTCCGGGCGCATGTAGAGACCATTGACGGTCTGACAGATTCCCTTGAGGCAAGCCGGACATTCTTCCTGGTTGTTTTCCGGGCTGCCGCCCACTACGCCTTGCGCGTTCACGCTCTGCAATTCGAAATACTGCATTAAACCAGGTTTAAGAAAATGCGATAGGATGCTAAAATTTGGAGGCCTTGGAAAGTATAGCAATAATTAGAAAAAATAGTAGACGAGGCCATCGTAGAATCCCGTCGTTAATGGATTTATGGTTAAAAATGAAACAATCAATTTTCTAAACTCTTCGATGTTTCGTCATATCGAATGACAATTTCAGGCAGCTACAAGAAAAAGTTATTAAGTTATAATAACACTTTATTTACAACAGGTAAGATGACCCAATTACAGGAAAAAATAAATATAAATCATCCAATACATATACTAGGGGACGTAGAAACTAATCTTATAACTAAAAAAAAAAGAAGGAAAGAATGAGAAAGAAAAGAATAAGACTTCTCAGTACGGATAACCCGAAGCAAATCGAAGTTGCCGAAGTATGGCCTGGAAACCATCATAATATAAATCGCAGTACGATGATAGTTTGTTGAAGGTAGCAGACATATTGTAAATAGGGTTTTGAAAATGGACATTGGACCTGGGTAACTGCGGTAAGAAAATTGATTGATGTCTCCCTTCCAGCCGCGGCACATGGATGCGTAATTGTTCCAGAAGAAACGGTCAACCGACTTCGTGATGAACTAACTTATAGAGAAATGAAATAATTGCAAGTCTCTGCGCAAGCTCAGAGGCAGTACAGTAACCTTCTCTATACACTCCCAATGGATTGAGTGTGGCAGTTATAAATTGGGGACCATATCGCAATAGTTAAATAACAATTTAACAGTAGTTGAACTATAAAAATGCCTGCAGTTTCTTATTACGAACCCTAAAATTTGCATTGCACTGGAAACCATTTTAGTAATGTGAGGTACAAAAGAAAACGACTGGTCAATTAAAATCCCCAGAACCTTCACAGTAGCAAGTCTAGTCAGGACAACACCATCCATATTGTAATTAAAGACTATAGGAGTTTTTGTGCGGTGGTAAGAAACCACATTACACTTGCTGATGTTAAGATGCAATTTATTTTTAGTACACCACTGACTGACAATATTATTGTTGTGCTGGAGAATCATGCAATCCGTACCGGTTTCAATGCATTCATATAGATGCATGCAGATGATCAAAGATATAAATATAATGAACAGAAGAGGTCCAAGATTAGAACCTTGAGGCACGCCAGAAGTTGGATCAAAAGGAACTGATCTAAACCCCTCAATCTAAACAAACTGCCGACGGTTCACCAGATAGGACCTCAACACAGTAATCAGCGAATCAGAGAAACCAAATTTTTGAGATGCTTTTTCAATCAGTAAGTGATGATCTGTCTGGTCAAACGCTTTGTGGAAGTCAGTGTCTATAACGTCAACTTGACCTTGCTTGTTAAGGGAGTGACAGACATACGAAGACATCGTCGTTTTTGTAGGTTTTTGTAGGTATAACACACTCTTATTGTCTGGTCAAAAAAATTTTAAAACATGGAGTTATAAAATAGAAGTTGCGAGAGATTGGACAATACACTAAAATCCGAATATAAAGAAAGTTTTAATACATTCGCGATTTCCAGATTACACTTTGTTGACTGGTAACCTTATTGAAGATCTTATTTTGTTTTACAGTAACACCTTTCTTCTTGTAGTGCCGTAACCATTAATGATTGTTCGCTGTCATGCTGGCTATCATGTTGACGATTCGTGTCTTGTTTACCGCTGGTCGGGACAATTCCACGTAGGACTGACAATACCATTGACGTAATTTTTTCAACCAGGATGTTCTTCTTCGTCCGGAGCCTCTCCTGCTGTTTATCTTTCCTTCCATGATTAGATGTAGCAGTCCATCCTTTCCGGGTGTCGCATGATGTGTTTAAAATATTGTAGCTTACGCGTTTTAATGGCCACACTTATTTCTGGTTCTTTATTCATTCTGGCTAGAACGTCGATATTCCTCACTCTATCCATCCAACTTATTCAGAGCATCGCATAGTCATTAAGGGTCCATGCCTCCATATTATACAAGAAGACGGCGAATACGTAGAACTGGACCATTCTACCATTTAGGGATATATCGTGACTACACAAGGCATTCTTGATCCGTACGAATTTTGCTTTTGCCTTCTCTATTCTTCATTTTATTTCCACCGATGAATCCCAATCGTCATTAACGCAACTGCCTAGGTAAGTGAGCTTATTGACTTTTTCTATCGGCATTCCGCTGACAAAAATGCTTGTGGTGAAATTTTATATTTTTATATTTAGTTTTCCTGGTGTTCAGTTTCAGTCCCTACCGCTCTATGGATTCTATCCATCAGTGGAAAAGATATACATGGTTACGGGAGTTTTTTGCCATGAGAAATTTTAATTCTCAATTTAGCTCTTATCTGACTACTCATGACTTTTTGTACGACCTTGTATTAAATTTTTGTTAGAAAAATAAATGCATCAATTATTTTTAGGTGACAAAGGTCCTTTTACAAATGTAAAAAAATATATACGTTACAACAAAAGACAAAAGCGTAAATAAAGTTTCAAAAAATACTACTAGAAGCGCAAACAATGAGTTGAAATTAGAGATTATCAGTACTTTGAGTTTCGCTAGGTACTGAAGATGAATTTTATTATAAATTTTTTTAGCCAAAACAAAGCGACGGCTTTCTATGAAGGAAAGTCAATGTTTGTGTTTGTATGTTAAGATTTGGTCTTAATGTGTACATACTAGGCAGCGTCATCTGACACGAAAAAATTGAAATCTTAAACGATGTGCTTCACTGATTGCGTTTTTCATCCGCAACAGACGCCATATGAGAGGATCCATCCCAGCAAAGCAGGACGCAGCTTAGGCTTAGGCTTAGGAATTATAGTACAGTTTTAACAAAACAAATGCAACTTCAGTGCATCTAGATTTCCCTAGGGTTTTATTTCGACTCTTTGTGGCTGACCCGTCGCCAAACTCGACGCAATTGGAAATCCACAAGCAGTGCTCCCTCAATTTTCACAGACTGCGAAACTTTCTTTGAAAAATATACAATATAGCGATAAACTCAGAGTGGGTTCTGAGTAACTTAAAATCATTTTTCTCTTGGAATGCAATTTAATTAAAGCGAACCAGTAAACTTTTACTTATCTAAATCACGATGCGACCATCACAGTTTTACGCTCATTTTATATTTATTTATTTCTTTCTTTGTCTTGGTTATTAACTATCAGCTTTCTCAGTTGATGTCTCATCTATAATTTTAGAGAACTCTAGTACAATTCCCGAAGATTTACAAAATTAATAGTTCTGTGATCACTCTGTTTACCTAAATACATCTAGAACTCCGCTTAAAAGAAAATTGATGAATATCTTAATCTTTCAAAGAAACTTCCACAGGCTACTGTAATGCTTTTTACAAAACTTCTTTATTCCTACCGTGTCGGTTTTTGCTTAGTCGAAATTGCTGACGTTTCGCCAATCACCCTGTTGGCTTCTTCAGAGCTTGACTGAAACCAGTTTCAGTGACTCAGCAAAAACCGACGCAGGAGGAGTCCAGAACTTTTGTAAAAAGCGTGATGAATATCTTATCTGGAAATCATCTTGTGAATATCTAATATCAAAAGTAAACTGTCATAGAAACAAAATTTATATTGCGAATGTTGACGTTGGTAGTAGAGGTTATTTTTTATTTAATCTTTTGGTTTGTTTTTATAAATCTTGATAAATAAAAAAAAAACGAGATACATAGTTTAAATACTAGAAGTAGCTCTAATCTCCTCACAAATATTTGAAAATCTTAAGGAATCTTAAAACGTAGAAGATTATTTGCAAATTATAACAGAGGGCCTAAGCACCATATCTTGTTTTTTCTTTTGGGATAATTTCAAGTATGTCCTCATTATTGTTTGCCGATATAATCGTGTCGTCAGCCTCTATGATGGCTAAATTAGGGAACACCGGATCCAAGTGGACAATGCCGTCGTTTTCGACCACTGAGATTTCATTCCAAAATTTTCATGGGTAACCGATATTTAGACATTCGCAGAACGCTCCTGTTTGTCTGTGAAATTGCATTTGCTTATAATATGTTTGTCTCACCAAAAAATATTGACACTCGTTGCTTTTTCGAATTCAAATCTTTGGTCTTCTTAAACGGCCTTGGGAGAATGTTTGACAGTGGGAGTTGTTAAATTTGATGTACAGTTATTTTATTACGATCTTAAAGCTTGCATCGGTGTTAGCTGTCATATCACGATCGAAATCTTAAGCTAAAGCTACTGATTCGCCGCAAAACGTATTACTTCCCCGTTCTTTTAACCTCCTCTAATCGTTCGATCGCTCGCAGATGTAACTAATGCGAATCATTTGGGTCAAATAAACGTTAAAACACACACAGCTCCGGTCTTTGTTAATAGAATAATAGGATATTTAATTGATTACGCACATTGCGGAATATTATTTTTGAATGTGCCGCGACGATAATTTTTCAATCGTTCGGATCGTAATTAATTAATAGAAAAAACACCGAGCTCCGCCCGTCCGTCGGGCTCAATAGCCTTTAATCTCGTCAGAAGGCACGCCACTGTTCTGATTTGTATCGCTTATTTTAATTGTGACACATATGGTGACATTTTTCAGAAGGTTTTACCAGATAACAAATTAGTACCATTCTACTTGATGGGAAAATGGAATATCTCCTTTTTGACGCTTTTGCTAATTATTTTGATAAACGAATGAAGGCGCAAAGCGAATTTTCCCGACGGTTTTGGTTTTTAAGATAGAGGGCATGCATATTGTCTCTACCGCAAAGCTCGTAGCTGTTTCTTAATATAAGTGTTTGGATTGAGAATGATTATGACGATAAAGTTTATTCACATTTGGGACTTACAGGAACAGAATGCGATACGTACAAAATAAAGTGTAACACAAATTATCGCGGCAGTAGTACAATAATTCTACTTATTACTTCCGCAAAATCGTCAGGAAGTATTTGTAAAAATTTAAAAACAACATTTCCAAGGGTTTAAGAAAAAAAA